GGTTCTTGAGAAGAAGATTTTTAAAGATTTTTCCTATATATTTCAATGTAAAACTTGGATTTCCTATTGTGGCCCCGCCCTACCCCCGGGGGTCATGATTTGAATAATTTAGAATCTACACTTCCCCAGCATGCTTCCAAGTAAGTTTCGGCTTTTCTGGTCCATTGGTTCTTGAGAAAGAAGATTTTTAAAGATTTTTACTACATATTTCAATGTAAAACTTGGATTCCCTATTGTGGCCCCGCCCTACCCCGGGGGTCATGATTTGAACAATTTAGAATCTACACCACCCCAGGATGCTTCCACATAAGTTTCATCTTTTCTGGCCCAGTGGTTCTTGAGAAGAAGATTTCTTAATGACCCCACCCAATTTTTGTATTTTCTTGATTATCTCCCCTTTGAAAGGGATTTGGCCCTTCATTTTAACAATTTAAACTCCCCTTTATCCAAGGTTGCTTTGTACCAAGTTTGGTTAAAATTGGCCCAGTGGTTCTTGAGAAGAAGTCGAAAATGTGAAAAGTTTACAGACGGACGGACAGACGGACGACGGACAATGGGTGATCAAAAAAGCTCACTTGAGCTTTCAGCTCAGGTGAGCTAAAAAGAAATTGCAAGGATATCCTGGTTTCGTGTAAATATTACACTCTTTGTTGTCACCACTTACATTACATTTTGTACTTTCTTCTTGTTCCATTTCTGCAGAAGCTGTTACCATTTTTTGTACCAGTTCTTTCCTGCAGTTGGTGCATACTCCTGCAAAAATTATGAAAATGCAAAAATTTTGAATGCATGCACAAAAATTAATGAAGCAGAGCCTCCCTTCTTTCTGCATCAGCACAGTCCAGGAAATACATTTACTTACTTTCAAACAAAAGACATGATAGAAAATAATATTTTACCAAAACAGACATACAAACTGATAATTTGCTTCAAGATACACAATACAACATATTTGCATGTACTTGTCTGTCAGACAAAGGAACAGAGAGACAAGGTGATTGCAATAAAATCCCTTTCTTACCAAAATAAGTGTTTGAGAACACGAATGCCCCTGCTAAACACATGCTCAAGCATTGAGACAAAGTGATCCCTACATGCTTCTGCTGGCTAACAGCAGGCATAATAAAAATGCATTATAGTGTAGTTATACTAAAAAGAAAAACATCAGCAAACCTGAACCAATTTGTATAAGGACATCATGATGTTTCTTGAGAAAGAATGATTGTTCTTTTGTAATGGTTCCTTTTGAATTGCTCCGGCTCTTTTTGGCACATTTCCATCCTAAGGAACACATCTTGCTTGATCTCCACCCAACCCCAAGAATGTATCTATAATTCAAGAACAGTTTAAAAATAATTAACACAAGCAATCTGGAATGCACTTGTGTATATGACATTTTATAAAGGCAAAAATCATTATAATGTTGATGTAGGGCAACATATCAAAATAAAATAAACAAGTGTTTTAGAATACAATATATATTGCATGCTCAAGAAGCTTGTATATTTACCAGAAATTACATACATAATACATGTAACGTATACAAATGTATAGTGTAATACCTGTGTTTTGGGCAGATGGTAAGTGTTTCATCGTCCTCATTCAAAAGGCCTGCCCTCGTCTTTATTAAGTCACATTCATTTTGTATACTTCTGCGATTGATGGAAAACTTCTGCAGATGTGAATCTACAGAATTTTGGCAGCAGGTCAAGGGTAATATTTTTTCGGGCCAAGTCTTCTTGTAATCAATCAGTCCACATCCAGAGGTTGATGATGATCTGAAACTGCACACAAACTGAGTCACACCTAGAAAACAATACACAACTATGATGAAGATCAACTATTTTTACAAAATTTGAATTGAAAATCCGTTGAAAATTTTTTTAAGAAAATTCGGTGAACTAAAACACTGATATTAAAAGTCATGAAGGGCTCCATTGGAAAATTTCTGATAGAACAAAGTATAGTTTTTGTGGAATGTGGTTTTTGACAAGGTCTAATTGTGATTTGAGGCTTGATCTTTGACCTCAAAATGTACCGATGTCTTCCTCTCATCACCCATGATGAATGTGTGACAAAAAACCACTAAAGATGATATAGCCCATGGTGAAGCTTTAGTTGAAGTGAAGAATTACCTAAACATATAATTCAGAATTTCAAGGTAAAGATCAAATACCAAAGTTTATGTCAGATTTGAACATGCCATTCAGTAGATTTCATCAAGGTCTATTTACATGTGATAATTGAAACTAATTTACCTTATGGTTTTCTCACAAAAGAGCTAAATGTAAAATTCAGAAGTTCAAGGTCAAATATCTAGGTCAAGGTCAGAAGTGAACATGCCATTTAATAGATCTCGGCACGGTCTATCTACTTGTACTGTTTGAAACCAATCAACAAGTTGGGCACAACACCACAAATGCGAGAGTATCCCAATTGCAAGGCTGTCACTGTTTTGCAAGATGAATTTCAACAAAATTTGTCCGCTTTATAATAAAAAATTAAATGTCCGAATTTTGTTCTCCAAGTTATAAAGGCTCATCTTTAGGACATACTGAAAAATGTTTACAAAAAGCATTCATGCATTTCATGTACAGTTTTCGCGATTATAGCTGCACATGTTCTGCAGCTGTAATCTCGAAAACGGCAAATTTACAAATGTTCTTCTTTTGTAAACATTGTTTAGTAAAGAAATAATGTATCACTTTTAAACATCTATCGGGATATAAATACAGGTTGGTCACATTATTACTTATATTTACATTTATGACTTATTCATATTTTATATTTTCCTGATTACAATATTTAACGCGTGAAAAATTTTATTTTTCAAACTCAACGGCACGTACTTGATCCATTGATTGTGCGTCGACCTTTTATGATGTCACTGAGAAATTATGTCGAATGTTTATGACGCGAGGAACCGTGTTTATAGGGATATAGATACGCGTTGCTCTTAATAGTGTTATACAAAAGAAAACATTTGCAAATGTAAATATTATATCATAAACATGAACCCTTTTAACTTTGAGATCAAAATTAGGAAATTTATTTTTTTAGTACTTGAAAAACTGACAAATATGGCTGAAATTCATCTTGCAAAACAGACACATGCAGTCTCACATTTGCGGAATAGTCTCGTATTCAGCAATTGTGCCCAACCTGATCAAGGGCGTAGGAGGAATAGCACCCCCCCTCCCACTTTTAGGGTCAGGAGCAAATTTTGAAACCAGAGTTGAGTCTGTTATCCTAGTTGCCCTCCCCCTTTTCGAATCAATATTAGCCACCTAAAGTTTTGTCAACTTGTTGGGTGCTGATATCTTAACATCGTATTTTGGTGTACTGGATCTGGAATAACAGACTGCTGTTGTCGAATGCAAATGAATGCTATACTGTACAGGTAATGAGGTATACCGGGTATGACTATGAATTTTATGAAATATTGTTTGAAATATTACTTGTCAATAGAACAGTAACATACAGACATACAGGAGTGGAAATCTACCAATTTGACCTTATCAGTGATTAATGAATATGCTCTAAATAATATAGTCCGAAATATCTGGCGTTTTCCAGGCTTTTTGATATTTTATGTGCCAGGAAAACGTCAGAACCAGCGCAATTACAAAAACTGGAAATTTCGCCGTCTCCAGTCAGAGTTGATTTTCCATACCTGGGAACCGAATTAAATGCCATTGTCACAATTTATCAGTGGCACAATGCTTCTAGTACTCGACAATATCGATGAAAAGAAAACATCACTCATCATTCCGATACAGGACTTGAAAAAAAAATTTTTAAATGTGTAAATGCACGAAATGAAAACAAATCTCGAAAGTCAGATAAAATGTTTCCATCGGATTATATATTTTATAAACAAACCATAAAAACGATGTTGGTGAGTACTACAAGCATTGTACTATTGATAAATTGTGAGTTTGACATTTCATTCGCTTTGCAAGTATCGAAAATCAACCCGAGAATGCCGCCTCTGGTTGGAGGCGGGGAATTCCCAGTTTTCGTAAAGGCGCCGGTTCTGACGTTGTCCTTGCACATAAAATATAAAAATAGTAAGAAAGACAGGAAAACGTCAGATATTTCAGACTATAAATAATACTTTTCAGTCACTTACAATCGCTTGATGCAGTCATGTCCTCTGTAACCGCACAAAACCTGCTTACATCTTCTTCGACTTCTGCTGCAACTCCAACTTTGTGTTAGTCATCAGCAAGAGAGTTCCACAAAGGGGAGATAATCTGTTTACGCGCTTTCATATTTATGATACTTTCTAAATCAAATTATTTGCTGTAGAGTATCCAACTACCTTTTTTTATTATTGGATTTATAACTTCAAAGCTCATAGTTCCTATTGCATGTATGATTATGATGGAGTTTGGTTGCGTTTTTGCATAAAATATTTATAAAAATTATGCTGATTTTACAGCATTTGGTAGAAACAAAGCAAAGTAGGCCCCAATGCTTTAAAATAAATATGGGAAAAATTAAATCTGCCTTATATATTGAAATTAAGAAAAACATAGTTTAATTCTGTAATTAATTTTGACAGGGTTATCAATAATCAAATTTCCCACTTTTCAAGCATTTAAATCGCCGTTGCTATGGTAACAAGAAACATGTGACCCAAATAACTCATGTTTGAAAGGACATTCATCTATGCTTCCATGCACCCAAATATTAAAGCAAAATAATTTTTTTCACATTCCACTCATTTTATATACAATACTCAATGGTTACTGACACGGCCTCTTAAAATCTTAAAATCTGAAGAAGAACAGCAGGGCTAAAGTAAGTTGAGCATTGTGGCCCATGGGCCTCTTGTTAGCGATTTTAGGGATAACTCCATTATTTAACTTTGGTTATATTTGTGATTGAATTCTTTGCGACTTCTATTTTAGCATTTACAAGACCATTGCTAATAATGCCAAAATTCAATACTTGCTAAATATTCCCATTATATGGTATTGATTTTTTTTCTTCAGGAAACCAGACAGAAACATGTTGTGATGTTGCCCAGCTGCGTACCCTTCAATCGAACATGGGGCTTCCTCAGCAGTTTTTCTTAAGATGTCCAGCATGTTACAACAACTTCCTTAACCTCTACTGTTACCTGACATGTGGTCCCCATCAGGGCAGGTTCTTAGGAATCAATGGAACAGCTGCTGGAACCAATGGCACATATGTTAAAGCAGTATCTTACTATCTGACAAATGAATATGCTCAAGGAATGTACAACTCCTGCAAAAATGTCCAAATGCCTTCGGCCAATGAGAAAGCACTTAGCATTTTCTGCGGAAGACCAGCAGCACAATGCACGGCACAATCTTGGCTCACCTACATGGGTTCAACAGCTAATGGCCACACCCCATTTGGGATTAATTTTGTAATTGGGGATAAAAATGTCACAACACCCAATGCAACATATGTTCCCATGAACTATACCATCACACCATGTAACAAGCAGTACAAGAATCGATCTGCATGCAGTTGTCAGGATTGTGAAACATCTTGTGCCCCGGTACCCCCAATTCCACCACAGCCTAAGCCTTGCACAATCCTGCATATTGACTGCTACTACTTTGTTTTTGCCATGATATTTCTGGTCTTCAATCTTTTCTTCTATATTTATGTCATCTGCTACAATGTCTTGGTTCGAAACTCCTTGGGAGTTATGGATTCGTACTCACGATTGGACAGTGATGATGAAGATTATACAGGGACTTTCTGTGTTAATGGTGACAAGAAGAAGAAAGCCAGAGGTGGATCGCAAAACCAGAGGTCAAGTTTACCAAAAGTATCACATGCAGACATCAACTGCCTGGAGAAAAGTGGCTCCTGGATGGAGTGCAAATTAGAATCTTTTTTCCATGCTTGGGGTACATTTTGTGCAAGACATCCAATTCTTATAATAGTAGTGGGTCTGACCATAGCTGGTGCTTTATCTGCTGGGATTGCTGTCTTCAAAGTGACCACTGATCCGGTCAAGCTCTGGTCAGCCAAAGATAGTCGTGCAAGGACAGAGAGAGACTACTTTGATTCTCATTTTGGGTACAGTGTAGTTTAATTCAGGTTTATTGTAATACATATATACTTTGGTTTCATCAATTTTCATGAGGATCAAATTTCCTGGAATTGTCAAAAATACAGTGTTGTAGATATGGAAATTTGTGAACAGCTACCCCTCAAATTCTATGGTTGGTAAAATTTGTACTTCATTGATCACCTAATTTTGTGATCTGACTCAAGCTTGAAAACAATAGGTGTTGATGTTTAATGAAAAATGATGAAACTACACAATACTGAGTCTAAATAGATTTTTTTTTCATTGCGTGTATACCCTATACATATGTCATTTAGAGAAACTTGCACTTTTAATTTTCAAAAAAAAATTCTTTTGTTAAATTAAGTACTATATCTTTATTACGGTAAGTGTTATGATAGACATATCAACAAACCCTTATTAAACATATTACACTTTATATTTCAAATCTTATGAAATTTACTTGAACAGGAAACTTAAGTATATATATTTAACATTTGATAGACATACTTACAGCCACAATGTTATTATAAGTGTATGAAAATGGGAAATTAAAGTACAAGTTTTGTATATTTCAGGCCTTTTTATAGAACAGAGCAAGTAATTATAACTCGCCCCCATAACAACACTGTTGTCCAACATAAACTTCCCCCACCTTCAGAACAGATTGTCAACTATACCAGCTTATTTGACAAGGAATTTCTTCACTTGGTAAGAGTCCCGAATACTGTTTTCCAGAACTTTATTTTCTCGTAGTTATGTGAGACGGTGGGCTCACCAAAATTTCATTCTTGTGTATATTTTCATTAAATTATATACAAATAACCAGAATTCGTTAAAACTTTGTCTTGCTTGTACATGTAAATGCCAAATAAGTATCTCACAAAAAATTTAGTGTTGTGAAAATTTGTTGAGATACAGTAAGTTTGTACATTTGAGTTTGAGTTTATGATAATCTGAGAAAACTTTTTTCTATAGTCATCATTCTGTCCTATTTAGAAGATTTTTTTACAATGCTGAGATTTTTATCTTTTGTTCCCCCTTGAAATACCTGTATTGCTCGTACGATCTTGTTTGAATATTAATGAAGAATACTCTAGTTCACCAAATTTTTGTGAAACCTTATTTTTGCAAGATAATTTATTATTTGGTATTTGTAAGTGAGAAAAAAAGTTCAGGAACTTTGGATATTATTGCATATAATCTTTAGTAATTCAAATGTATGCAGGAATGAAATTTCATGAACAGGAGGATTGTTGCATATAATCTAAGTAATACAAATATAAGCAAGAAATTTCATTAACAGGAGGTCTCAAGTAATTACATGAAAAAGTTCTTGCGAATAAAAAATGATTAAAAGTAATGACTTTTTTGGCTAAATCAGAAAACCAGTAGTATGACTGCTTGTAATAAATATGATTTCTCACGTCGTATCCAAAGTGCACTATTGCACAATTTGTGTTTATTACATTTCAGGTTTTGGACCTACAATTGGCCATTGAGAATATCACGGCAGAGTACAATGGTGAAAAAGTAACTTTAGAGGACATTTGCTTCCAGCCCTTATCTCCAGACAACACAAAATGCACAATCCAAAGCATTCTGCAGTACTTCCAAAACAACCATTCAAACATAGATAAAGTCAAAATGGATGAATATGGCTTCTTTGTGTTAGCTGACTACCTTGATCATCTAAGATACTGCTTGCAGTAGGTCTTTTCTTTTCAATTAGTCTTAAACTCATTTTTTTCTAAAAAAAGGGGGGGGGGCAATGGAACCATACTACATGTTACATATAGCTCATGTTGCCTTCAACTGGATTTTATTCTGTGTCAACAATGTGAATAAGTTTTTATATATATGCATGTATTACCTGCCATTTTAAGTGACATCCTTTGTTTCACATGACTTGTATTCCTTTCAGAGCACCAGCATCAACACAGGACACCGTCGGATTAAATATGAGCTGTCTAGCAGAGAGTGATCAGCCTATTTTCCCGTGGATAGCATTGGGAGGATTTGATGGTAGGTATACCTCTGTGAAAGCTTTATCAAGATAATAGCTTGGAAATTTATGGAAAACTTTAAAGAAAGGTTTGCTATATGTACACTGTATACCTATACAGGTGTATATGCTGGTATATCTCTGTTATGATGTTTTCACAGGAGATAATCACAACTCATCAGAGGCCATTGTTCTCACATTTATTGTGAATAATCACTTGGATGAAGAAATGAACAAGAAGGCAGAAGCATGGGAGAAATCATTCATAGAACACATGAAGGCCTTCTCAAGTCCAGACATGACTGTATCATATTCCTCGGAAGTAAGTAGTTATTAGAAGTCAATATGGTCTAGCCAATTTCGGTTTTCATTCATAATATAAGCGATGATATTTTTAATTAACACCCCCCCCCCCTTAATTTTTGAGGTGATCATTGAAGACTTTAAACCTTTTTCCTTTAAAATAAAGGTTGTTTTTAAAAAAAGCAATATATGAGCTTTCATGCACATCACTAGCATTAACAATTGGCTGGTTTCTCATAAATTGGTTAAAAGTTCATCCTTTTCTTAGTTAATGTGTTACAGTAGAACACATTTGTAGTGAATACAGAGATTACAAATTCCTGCTTACAATGAACTGATAGATTTTCAACCAGTACTAGGAAATAATGAATAATAAGCTGCATATACATGTATTTTGTAAAATCACTTATTTTCCTGGGGTGAAAAGTATTGATTCAAAGAGATTTGATTTTGTGGTTGAAGAGAAACATTGTAATGTAGTATAAAATTTTAAAATTCCATGGGGTATATGAATTCATGGGTCTCTTCATACCACGAAATCAACAAAAATTAAACCCCCCCCCCCCCCCAAAAAAAAGATAAGTGATTTCAGAGTAATGAATAACAGATATGATGAAGCAAGAGTTTAGCATTCCCTGAAGATTCTCTTTAAAAGTGTTTTACTGTATTGTGGTCAACATAATATATAGTATTAATATTGCTTTCACTTCAGCGTTCCATTGAGGATGAGATTGAAAGAGAGAGTAACTCTGATGTCCTAACAATCCTGGCTTCCTATCTGATTATGTTTGGTTACATTGCAATTACACTGGGTCAATACAGAGACTGTGTAGACTTTTCTATTCCAAAACTGATGGTAATATTATACACATATAATGTGGCCCTTTACACACACACAAAAAAAATCTTACCACGAAGATAAAAATTTGACAACCTGGTAATTTTTTCTTTAATAAAGCCATTAATTTTTTTCTGAAGCATTGTTTAGTATGTTATCTATTGTAATAGAAATGTAAGATTTTTGTTATGTACTAAAGCTTAGATGCATGTTGGAGAATGGTAAAAGTTTTGTCTTAGTAAGATTTTTTTTTTTTTTGTGAAAGGGGCCACTGTTTGTTAATTCATAATTTGTTTAAATCATTACTAGAAATTCCTTTTTTTTTCTCAAATTATGGAGGTAGCTTCAGGTCTTTTCTTTTTATTAATAAATCATAATTTTTTTCTTTCAACAAAAATAAAAGTCACGCTAGTAACTTGATCAGTACTTGTCTTTGCATCAGTCTTGCACTGATACTCATACATTTAATTTTGATTGTGTGTTGACAGATGGATGCTAAGATCACTCTTGGTTTGGCGGGGGTCGTGATTGTCCTCCTCTCTGTCTCCTCCTCCCTGGGGATGTTCAGCTACTGCGGGGTGGCGGCTACTCTCATTATTATTGAGGTGGTTCCTTTCCTAGTGCTGGCAGTTGGTGTAGACAACATATTTATATTAGTGCAGACCTTCCAGGTAACGTATTGTGGGGCTACAGATAAGATATTAATAGGGATGAAAGTTCAGTCAATAAGCATACATACGTACATACATACGTACATGCATATTAACCAGTAAATCATTGTGTCAATTGACCAATTTGAAAATAACCGATTGAGAAGTGTTGTAATGGTTAAGAAATTTGTGAGTTCAGTTTTTTTTTTGTACTTCAGCTTATTTTTTTTCATTTCCATAAATAATCAAAAATATTAGTTTGATAGAGATTTATAATTAATTTAGAGATTAATTAACCTTTCAATAGAATAAACATTCAGAGTAAGTGCTTGGGAGTAGACAAAATTACATGAAAAGTCAATCCACTCAAAACTAGTATTGAACATGATTTGAGATAGATTTTATAAAAATTTGATATGCGATGAGGCTAACACTTCTACCAAAGATTAATTAGACTCAGTGGTCTCAGAAGTGTAAATGTGATTCAAACAATATTCTGACAATACATGTACAAATTTTCAGACTGACAGACATGCATTGTATTTTAATATTGGCATGGTCTGGTTTCAGACTAAGCATTCACATTACTTTCAAATTTAATTTTTAAAAACAATGGAAAAATCATTGAAATCTTTGTTCAAAGGTTGACATTGTAATCTGTGGTGCATTTTGATACTTTGAACATGTACAAAAAGTATAGGGATAACCAATACAGTTACTTTTTTTTAAATGGATAATTGGACCATTAAATTCTTGATTATAAAATTAACCATTTCATTTCCATCCCTAGTATTATGCATATTCTTTAAGAATTTCCAAAAAAAAATAACATTCAATGTTGATAATTTTTAGAGGGACAAGCGAAGACCCAATGAAAGTATTGAAGAACAGATTGGTAGAATTTTAGGTCAAGTTGGCCCCAGCATGATGTTATCAAGTTTCTCGGAATCCATTGCCTTCTATTTAGGTAAGTGTATTGGGAATACCTATAAACGTGTAAAATTTATTGAAGCGAAGAAATCAGCTTTGTTGGAAAACAGATAAAAATCTAATATACAGTATATAATCATGCAGGGCTCATTCATCCTCGAAATTTTTTTGCCAGTAGACAAAATTACTCGCATTTGTGAGTGGGTGAATGGGTATTTGCGACCCCGTTAAACATGCAACCGACTCTACTCAAGTTACAGATCCTGAAACGTGCTACTACCCCAAAAAAGCGTGTGACTTTCGTGCGCTTTTCGTTTCGTGCAAACCGTGTAGCGTTTCGTGTAAACCGTGCAGCGTTTCGTGCAAACCGTGTAGCGTTTCATGTAAACCGTGCAGCGTTTCGTGTAAGCTCCAAAGCGTTTCTTGCAAACCGTGTAGCGAGCGTGCGAGAAGCGTGTGAGAAACGTGCGACTTTAGTGCAAGAATCGTGTGAGAAACGTGTACGATTCATTCGGAAGTCCTTTTATTTTAAATATGGCTATCGATGGATCAACATGTCATTCTGTGTTGTTTGTAACTAATATTATCCGGATATATAATGGTGGCATTTTAAGGGTGAAAAAAATTCGGAAACAACAAAATAAAATTACTCGGTAATGTATTACATATTTGTTTGATTTTCTTTCTTTTTAATTTCAATAAAGATGGACAGAAATGTGTTAAAAGTAATTAATTATATGCACATAAATTTTAAGGTATTTGATTCAATACATTTTTAAAGGGAGCAATACTGAACATTTTTTAAAGAAAATTCATTTGGAATCCGGTCTTGTCTTTTTCATTCATTTATTTGAATCTCTTCACCATTTTACAATTATGGGATATAGAGATTACAAGAACATATCGGTGATCAATACAAAATAATAGATAGATATTGCAGGAGTGAAAAATAAAATGCAAAATTTAGTGCGTTGCTATAAATGTGAAGAATTGGAATTCTAGGCCGGGAGCACAGTTAATTGATTTTCTTTATAAACGAACATAATTTTCTTATATTACTAGATTGTGATACAAATAATTTTGAAACGATGAGTCATTTATAGTCTTTTTTATGCATAAAATTGGTTGATTTATAATAGTCATATAAATGAATTATAACTCACATGCATCGGCAAATACAGGGTTAAATATTTCCGGGAAGGGGGGGGGGTTATCAAATGAAAACACAAACTGAGTTTCTGTTTTAAACGAGTGTTTTATTGATAATTTTCTTTTTTAAAAAAATTATTGTTTCTTTCGGGATGCGCCCGACGCACCCCTTAAAAATATATTGGAATCTTCTTTACGCTTTCAACACTCTTCTTACGACAGTGATCAAGGTCATTTACAACAGCGATCACGGACTCCGCGTGCTGGGACTTAAACTTGTTCTCTTGTCAATCATAGCTAAGATGACACCCGACAATAACGATTGATTTTTAATTCGTGAAATTGAACGTTTTACTAGTATTTAATGGGTATAAATAAATACCCGTGGATCTTATTTCTTAAATTTATCCTATTGTCTGTAAACAGTGAATTAATTTTCCATTGTATTCGTGAATAAAATTATAAAGAAATAAATTCTGAATAATTATATATTGGTTGTTTTATAAATCACGCAGTTCTAGAGCATTTTTTTCAGTTTTTAGGATTGGACATGTATACATATATATTGAAGGTAATGTTAAAAACCACGACTATTGATTACATAATTATTGATTTTTTTTTTTTTTTGGTCTAGACGGGGTTTGAAATGGTGGTGGGTATATTGTTTTTATTTGATAAACACAATGCCTCAACAGAGAACTAAATAATTACAATTATACCTATCCCCCGGCTTTTCTACCATATAAAATTTTAATGATAAATTAAGGTTTAACTCTGTAATGAAACGATATACTTACCATTCTGAATGAATTGCACGTATCTGGTCCCGCTGGATATGGCTATCCTTTTATTTTCTTAGAACGGGTACTTGTTTCTATGATAATTTTTCCCCGATGGTATACTTACTGAAACAAGTGCCTGTTATATTTAACCATGTACAGCTTTGAAGATACAACAGTAAGATCTCGGTAATCTACCCCCCCCCCCCCCCCCCCCCCCCTTTTCCTGCACAATGTTCCTGTTTGATACAGTTTACTTATTACCTTTGCAAATTCTAAACAGAACCTTATTTAATCAAATGAAATTTTTTTTTTACTAAATAAAAAAATGTATAAATCAATCAATAATTAAAAAAAAAAGGAAAAGAAAATAAATCCGTTTACAGAAATCATACGCAATTTAATAATTTTTTTTTTTTTCAAATCAATAACTGAGTTTATTTGTCAGTAATAAAACGACATTTTAAATATCAAACTATAATTGTAAAAACAATAAATGTTGTAAAAGATTATGAATTACAAATATAATTATTTTTCTCAGTGCGTAATTTAGAGTCTAGTGAGAAAAGGTTTGTACACAGACGATGATAAGCATTTCACCGCGCGGGTCACATACTCAATGACAACTATTAATTAATTACAACTGAACATTGAGTATTTTATCTGTAAATATAGTACTGGTGTAGCGAGTTCTAATCTTAATCTGAATGATTGCAATTCTTAACTAATCTTTGATTAATCCGTAATAATTGAAATAAAGTCCGAGAGATTCCGAATAGAAAATCCAGATCGAGGCCAAAGCGTGCGAGAATCGTGTACAAAGCGTGTGAGAAACGTGTACAAAGCATTTCGTGCAGGCTTTCGTGTAAACCGTGCAGCCTTTCGTGCAAACCGTTTCGTGTAAACCGTGTAGCGTTTCGTGCAAACCGTGTAGCGTTTCGTGTAAACCGTGCAGCGTTTCATGCAAACCGTGTAGCGAGCGTGTACCGTTCGTGCAGCGTGCGTGTGGGGTAGTAGCACGTTTCAGGGTCTGTAGATTTTAAACTTTATCCTACAATTACATGTATTTTCTTTTTCAAAAGTACATTGTAACAAGTTCTACCTAAAAAAAAAAACAAACAAACAGAAAAAAGAAATAAAGGAAAGTGAAAGATTTTTTTGCTTTTAAAATGAAACATGCAAGATTTTGCACCAGAAAGCCTCCTGCTTAAGCATTTGTAAAGCATTATGCAGTGTACAAGCAGCTGTAGAATAAATTTTTAATAAAAATCTAAATGTTCCTTTGAATTTCAATAGGAAACTAATTAACTGACAGAGTTCACATCAGTTTGAGCAATTTTTGTCACAAGTAATGTCCTGGTATTATGCAATATCAGGTGTAAGGGATATACTGGTATCAAATTACACTTCCAGCTCATTTAATATGTTTTGAAAAAGTTAGTCTTATAAGCTGACCCTGTGAAGTTTGAATAGGGATAATAATTGTATTTGTTACAACATAACTCTTATTTCACATATAAAATATAAACTAAACCTCTTATTTCACATATAAAAGATATACTAATATTTAAAGAAATCACTTTGTAGTGTTTTGTGTGTATGAGAGTATATATACCTTGGAGCAGAAAGTAGTAGTACTGGTATAAATTTGCCATATCCAGTGTAACTATGTGCTCCTAGGGAGGTACAGATTTTGCCAATAATGTTTTATTCTCTGTTCTTAGGTGCCTTGACTAACATGCCTGCTGTAAGAGTTTTCTCCCTTTACGCAGCCCAGGCTGTCCTTTTTGACTTTCTCCTACAGATAACTGTGTTTATAGCTCTTATGACACTCGATGCCAAAAGGCAAAAGGTAACAGAATTTAAAGAAAATCTTTTTTTCCCGAAATTAATCAAGATTTTTTCTTTATTTAGGAGACAACAATATTTCTTTCCTTGATGAATTCTTATTATAAATGCAATTTGCTTCAGAAACTCTTAATTTTGTTTGCTTTCCATATTTCAATAAATCTTTCTTGAGTTGTAGTGGTGTTTTGTAAAGTCATTCAAAAGACTGAACAAAGTTTAAAAATGAAGAACAATAATACATCTTTATTGTACAATACATTTAAATAGGACAACAGATTTGACATGTGCTGCTTTATCAAAGTGGGGAACCAGAAATCCCTGGATGGAAACTCTGGAGGATGTCTTTATAAAATTGTCAAAGATTACTACTCTCACTTTCTACTAAAGGAGTGGGTCAGGCCAATAGTGGTAAGCCCCCCCCCCCTGCTCACACACACACCAAATATTGAAGAAAAGGTTTTCAAAGATACAATTTTAAACAAATATCTTAAAGGTTTTTGTATTGTAAAGAAATTGCTTAAACTCATTTCAGGTGTATGATGATTGCTACACTGCAACACTGCATCATTGTATTAAGATCTGTCAATCTCTTTGTAGATCATTGTATTAAGATCTGTCAATCTCTTTTGTAGGTGACCATATTTACATTTTATTTCTGCCTCAGTGGAGCTGTTATTCACAAACTCGGTATTGGCTTGGACCAGAAGCTCTCAATGCCAGATGTATGTGTTAGATCTTTCGAAATCAACTCTTCCTTTCACAAATTGTCTGTCTGTTAAGTACTTTAAAACAAAAACAAAAACAAAAAAAAGATTTGTTTGGAGATCATCAATGTTTTACTGGTATGAATACATGTATTTGTATTTAGAACATGTACCAACCATCAAGGGAGAAAATGCTTCTCTATATTTTATAAATATCTGGGTAAATTAATATTATATATTCATAATATAAAAAGCTGATTTACATATAATTTTCATCTATCTAATCAGTGAAACTTTTATGTATATTATATATCTGTAATTTCAGGATTCCTATGTCCTAGACTACTTTAAGAACCTGAGTGCCTACTTACATACAGGAGCCCCTGTATATTTTGTGGTTGAAGAAGGACTAGATTACAAATCGGTGGCAGGTCAGAATGCGATCTGTGGAGGAAATGGATGTCCACAGAATTCTCTTGTGGGTCAACTATTTACTGCATCTGGACAGCCAAGCTAGTAAGTTGTAACTCTAACGAAGAAGGGATAATCAGTAATTTATACGTAATGTAATTTTTGACACTTGAAAAAAATGTTTTAAATCTTGATTGCTTGTGATAAAAATACTTATGGTAAAGAAAGAACCTTTTTGTAAGTCATTGGCATGTACCTCAGGCCTGTACTTTGGAAGATGGATATCAACTTATGGGGGTGGATGATTCTAAACATATAAGTGAAAAGTGTGTAGCAGAATTTTTACAGAGTACATCCAATGAAATACAAAAAATTTAATTGAATATTTTCAGCACAAAGATAGCACAGCCTACATCTTCCTGGTTAGATGACTACTTGAGCTGGCTCTCCCCAGGAGGGGATCCCCCATGTTGCAGAGAAAATAATTTAACGCATGGATTCTGTCCCTCCATGGGTATGTAGAAACCATACCTCCCATCCCTTAACCAATACTCCCTTCCCTTCCCATTCCCAATTTTGCTATTTGCTTCTAGAGGGAAAATGAGGCACCAATATTTCCTGATTTTTTTTTTCCAGACAATAGTTCTACCTGCATTGGGTGTCCCATGGGAAAGTCAATACATGGAAGACCAAATGAGGTAGATTTTATGAAGTACTTACCATGGTTCCTCAAAGACAACCCAGGAACAAAATGTGCTAAAGGGTGAGATTCTCTAAACATCGCCATTAGAATATGTATTGTTTCATACAAACTTTCTTTCTAACAGTTCAGAATATTTTCAGACCTATCCATCTAATGCTATAAATAAATACAGGTAAACGTCGGTATCTCGACATCGGATATGTCGACAACCTGGGATATGTCGACATCCTTCCGCGGTCCCGGCAGTATTTACTATTTAAATGATTTGCAAAAACTCTGATATGTCGACCTCGGTAATGTCGACAACCCGGGTTATCTCGACGTATATTCACAGTCCCAAGAGGAAAATTTACCTGGCATATGTCGACATCGGCAATTTTCTGCTCTACTGAACCTAACTGTTTGTCAGATAGGGTCGCTCGTCACGCACGGACGACTCCGGGTATCTCGACGTCGTCAAAGTTTCACACCTTTCACACCCATGTTTTGACTGCACGCTGCTTAATTAATTTTATAGACTGTGTTTGTAGGTGAAGCCCAAGCCCCTTCGGCGTCTTTGAGAAGTAAATTGAGCTTGGGTAATATCATTACTAAATCTACACGATTCTGCGTAAATGTACAGAATGTTATTTATATCTAAACGTAACATAACTTTTAAATTTGAAAAAGATAACTAAATTACAATGAATAAAAAACATACTGAAAAATTCAAACTAAGGAATTAAAATGTTTTAATGATATTTTGTAGTTAAAATGTATTCAACAGGAAACAATCCAATTAACGACATGATTGACCGAATCAGCCGTAATTCGTGCATCTGTAACATCACTACGTTAGTTTAGATACACAAATCTCTTTTAAAAAAATTAATTTTAATGTACATTCTTCCAGAATAAAATAAGAAAAAAATAATTCCGCATTTAATTTTTTTTTACCGTATATCGGATGTCGACTTTATACGGTTCGAAGTTTATAGAGCGCATTTTGTATCCTGTTCTGACGAAAAGGCAAGTTACACGCGAATGCAGCTCAATGCTGTAATTTGTGCTGAAACTTTTTGAATTTAGAAAGATTTCGATAAAGAACACGTTTTATAAACAAGATTTTTAAAATAACTTCTTAGATTTTTAATAAAAATAGAGGGAATTCTGAAATATGTTGAGCTACAGTCTATATTAAAGTCATGTACGTATAATAAGGTTGTCTGTTTTGCTATGCAATGAAATCTTGGACGTCAAGTCTCAACTCTGATATCTCGACACCTCGGATATCTCGACATTTTCCGATGGTCCCGCCGATGTCGAGATAACGAAGTTTACCTGTATGTCATACTGGCAATGATGTTTACTTATAAGGCTGATATTTGTTTAACAGTGGACATGCTGCATATGGCAGTGGAGTAAACCTTATTAAAAACAAAACTGATGTTGGAGGTAAGGTTTCATGTAGAGTGTAGTTATAACACTTCTGCAGCAAAGTAAGGGCGATTTTGTTACATAGTCATGAATTTTTTTGTTTAATCTTGCTTATTTTTAACATACTGCATTTATGTTCAGATTTAAAAAAAAAAAATATGTAATTTAATTTTAGCCACTTATTTCATGACCTATCACACAATAATGACGGAGAACGAGGATTACATTAATGGACTAAAGATGGCCAGGAAGATAGGGGACAACATCACCAGCACACTGAGGACCATGCTTCACAACGACAAAATCACTGTGTTCCCATACAGGTGAGCTCAGTGTTTAACATACAAGTCGGTATTTGTTTTAAAAAATAAGAAATAATGCACAGATTTCATAACTAACGTAATTCACATAAAAGGTAAATTTATGTACTAATGTAATACAGGATTGGGAGGGGTTTTAAGGTGAGCATTTTGGAATTCATGATGTTTTCCTTCTTTTTTTTAGTGTGTGGTACGTATTCTATGAGCAGTATCTCTCCATTGTGAAGGACACCATTGAGAACCTGTGTATCTGTATAGGTGCCATCTTCGTTGTCACTTTCCTCCTCCTGGGGTTTGACTTCTTCTCAGCCCTCATGATCCTCATCACCATAGGGATGATCGTTGTGGACATCCTGGGATTCATGTACCTATGGGACATCACACTTAATGCCGTGTCTCTAGTCAACTTAGTCATGGTAAATGTCTGAGAAAAGTAAAAGTATTCTGGAACTTCAGGGAGGCAAATATTGAAAAAACTTGGACAGATTTTTGTAAACCAACTTTAGTTCACTTATAAGGGAAATAACCAGGCTCCAGTGCCATAAAACTTAGATGAGCTCACATTTGATCTCAGTCTCACTTTTCTACTATTAATTCCTTTGGTAAAAGTGAGACTGAGACCAAAAATTAGGTTCGTCTAAGTTTTATGGCCTCGGAGCCAGGAGTTTACCTTTCATGAATATTTCTTGTCATGAACCTTACATATTTAATTGTATACTTCCTTCAAGATAAAAATTAATTGTCATGGATGGATTTCAAAAGGACAAATCTTGAATGAAACTTGTTGCAAATAATAATTGGTTTACAGTTTCTAATTCTGCAATAATTGTTTTCTTCAGGCTATTGGTATTTCTGTAGAATTCTGTGCCCACATAACCAGGGCATTTGCTGTCAGTTTACAGCCCACTAGAGTGGAGCGGGCTCACGATTCTCTTGCCCACATGGGCAGCTCTGTAAGTCATCAAAAGGAGCAGTTTTTACTTCTTTTTAATAAAAAAAATATTATTTCATATATTGTATTGGAGTATTGTACTATACAGCTGATTCGGATTATACTTTTTAGAGTTTTAGAATTTTTTTTTCTTCTAAGTTTATAATATTGTCTTTAGACTAATGACAAGAGCACAGCATTTCACTTGTTTTTTTTTTTACCATTTCAGGTTTTGAGTGGTATTACACTCACCAAGCTTGGTGGAATAATCGTGCTAGCCTTCTCCAAATCCCAACTCTTCCAAGTATTCTATTTCAGAATGTATCTAGCGATGGTGGTATATGGTGCAACTCATGGATTAATCTTCTTGCCAGTTATGTTAAGTTATATAGGTGTGTAGAGATTTTGTTTACCTTTTTTCCTTAAAATAAGGATTGTTTTGATTTTTGAATTTGAGAACGAGGAAAGTACATGTAAGGGTGCCATAGAAACAGAAATATTCTTTGGTTATAAAATATGGTTTATTCTGTGGATATTATCTTAGAAATTGAGGAATTATCAACAAATTTTTTTCCAAGGAACTGTACACATTTAATGTAAATTATTGATTAACCATATCAAATCCACAAAACTATATTGGGATGCAATTTTAATATTATGAAACCCAACAAACATTTCTGTTATATCTTGAACAAATTTAATCCTAATAAGTGAGAATGCATGTGTGATTTGGAGAAAAAAATTCTTTAACTTTATTTGGATTATGTAATAAAATGCCATTGTGAACATCATAGAGAAAAAAAAAATCATAATTTTATTCCTATGTTGATCTTTATATTTTCTTTTCCAGGTCCCCCTTTGAATAAGGCCAAATTATACAAGCACCAAAACAAAATAGAGCACGAGACAAATAGTATAACAGTTCAGCATCATAACCAATCAAATTATGAATCCATTACTAGCTGAGTTGATGACAGTGATATTAATTAAACATTTACTTGTTTTTCATACTGAGATTAACTAGAGTCCAAATTACATACTGTGGTTGCTGAACAAACACCGAGTTCATGGATGGAAACCTTTTATATAACGGAATATTAATAATATTCTACATTCCATTTTCCACTGAGATTATTTATTTTTTCACCAAATGCGTATGAGATAATCATGTGGTATATACATGAGTATAATGTGAAAATGGTTGATTTTCATTGTACTGAAAATGCAGGTTGTCATACTTAAAATTTTCATGGTATTAAGGTATTCAATGTATAACGACCATATTTTGTATCTAATAAGTGAATGGTCTGAAACGATTAATCATGGTAACATTTTGAAGGTGTTACGCAATAAACATACCCCACCAAATGAATTTACATTGAATACTTTAAAATGCATGTAGATGCAAATTTTTTACACATTGCTAAATTTTGAATTTGGAATATTTTCTTTAACGGTATTAATTTTGATGTAAAATTCTGAGAGGCAGTGCTTTTTATTAAACAATGCTTGAATGATTTGAGAAAGGGTAGAGGATCTGGACATTTTTTGTTACATTCTGATGGAAGTTTTTTTGCCAATATTTATTCTTATTCTAGATAATGATGATATCAATATTATTGTGCAATTGTTTATTTATGAGTGTATGTCAGAATATTCATTGTTATCTATACATGTATGTCATATTGGAATAGTGCTCCTCACAAAGTGCTCAAATGAATAAAATCACATGTAAAAAAAAAAAAAAATTGTTTTTCTTCATGTCACACTGATTATGATACATGTAATAGATTTTAAACAAAGAAAAGGCAATGTTTTCAAAACCAAAGTAAAAGTGTATTGAAGTGGTGCAAAGCTATGCCTAATCATTTTTAAATGAACTCTGTAAATAATTTGCTTTCATTATATCATCTGACTATCTTGTTACACTTTATTTAATCAAAGTGATGTGTTTCATAATTCATAATGCAGTGCGAGTCATAGTTCAGGTTTATTATATTTAAAAATATGTAATACCTAAATGTTACTCTGTTCTGCAGGAGACACAAAAATCACTGAGACAATTACCACTTTTAAGTAATTAAGGTTCTCCATCCCCCAGGATCTAAAAATCAGCAATTACTTAATATGCTCACTGAATTCACGAGGTAATGTGTAGCCAAGCACAATTGGCAGTTTTCTTCGAATTCATCAATGCTGTTGTTTGCATATACTGAATAGGAAAAATTACAAAATCTCAAATATATTTTAAGGAGATAGGATACTCAAAAATTCATTATGTTATAGATATTTGTAAAACAGTTGGCAAAGCCTTTATTATATTGCTAAAACACATACATATTTATCACACAAATTTTCATATCAAACCAGCCTTATCTTTTTCATTCTCCCCAAATCTACAAATATACTTGCGTATATAAATTCCTCAAATATTTTTGTGGATAACTCGAATTATACCATGTAACTAATTATTTTGAATCTTAATATAATGAAATACAAGAAGCTCTGTTAAAACCCTCACTTTCTTCCGATTTTGTGCAGGCACAGATCGGGGGAGGGTGTGTGTGTTGGGGGGGGGGGGGGGGTCCGGTCCCCGTTGGAATTTTCAGATTTATTAGATTTTTATGTAAAGTAACCAAAAATGAACTCCCCCGGGAAACACGGACCCTTCGTCAAATGGTAAGGAGAAATCAAAGAAAATTGACTTAAGAAAGTAACTTGCGGGAATCCAGAGTTAGACTGAGTAGTAGTCTTTTCTCTTCACTGTACATGTCTATAGTGTACTGTGGAATCATTAAAATTCGTAGGGGGCAATTTTCGTGGATTGCTCAAAATCTACAGGTTCATGGGGACATAATTTCATGTATTCACTCACGTCTACAAAAGGAAAGATGACTCTGAAACCCTTGACTATTTATTCGTGGAGGATGTTAATTCGTGGATGAGAAGTACCCACGAATTCCAAGAATATTGATCCACCACAAAATCTAATGATTCCCTGGTATGATGAATTATATTTCAAAATTTTTCAAAATACATGTAATTCTTAGGAGACATGTAATTAACCTAAATTACTATTAAAAACCAACGATCAAAAACTCTGGCATATGGGAATAGGAGAAATAGATTTTTTTTAAAGTGGGAATAAGTGAAGACACCGTTACATATGATCCTAGAGAGGCCTCAACTCCCCACACATTAGTTAATTAATGACTCCTTTTCCTGCCAACATTGAGTTCTGAAGCTATGCGTGAAAATCTGTTTATTTGTCGTAAAATAACAATTACTTTAATATGATGATATCTACTTTTATCGAACTTGTATACAGCTTTATACCAAGTCTTAATATAAAGTCATGGCATCTCTTACAAATGTTTCAACTGCCATCAGAAGGAGTGCTTGTTATTAAGTACATGTATCTCCGAAACAATTCAGTCCTTAGTTTTATGTGTTTTCATGACAAAGGTTAGAGACAGATTGTGACAGTATGATTTGATAAAAACAAGTACATGTATGTAGAGTATTTTAAGTAGGAGAATGCCCCGTATGACCTGCCATGGGTCAATAGACTATCGAACACACCCTCAATAATGTCGCACGTCAGGCTGGGATTTGCACAGGCCTTGAAGCTGTTGCGGATCTGGTTACATAGTGAAAATAGGACAATTTTTCGTGAAATTTTGAGACATGTACCATGTAAATTGTTCATGTATTATTCCTAAATGCTTCAGAATCAAGTAACATGCCGGTGTAACGAAGAATTTTGACCCGGGTTGAAAACTTATGTCAACTTTGAATATTGAAAAAAAAAAATTGAGCCGCATTGTTGAATTATGATCATTAAACCTGGTCAGAATTTAACAGCATAAAAAATATATAACTGAATTGATGTTCACAATCATGATTTATTCATTAAAATTACACATGTACATTCATTTGGATTAATATTTCACCAGGTCCATAGGAACCAGGTGAGGGAAGGGAGGGAAGCACGGTGTGGCTGTTTTCCTTTATACACGCCATCATACATGTATACTTTAATACAATAAGAAACAAAGCTAATTTACGGTTGTGTTTCCTTATAAAGAACGTCTGATGATCTTTTTTTTTTTTATCCTGCTTGACTATGAATTTCTGTTCGGTTCTCCCCCTCTAAAAAAAAACGGAGTTTTCTACGAAGCTGTTCACATAATTTTTTAAAATCCTTATAAACCTTAACATGTACACTGAAATATTTTCAGTTCGAAATGGACAATATGTACCAAACATGCAGCCTGAAAGGTTTGGATTTTTTTCAAAGACCGATCGCAAAAATACACGTCGTTTTTTTTTATTTATTTACATGTATTTATTTATTTTTAGGCTGTGCAAAGAACCCTTTAATATGCAATCCCTTTTGTACTAGTTTCACTACATAGTGAACGTTTCGCATATTAGCATCACATACAATACAAGTATTTTCAAATACCGATGACGGGATAGTGGTAAAAACTAAACAAAACGGAAAATAATATCAGATTATCAGATTCATGCTCTGTTGGTACTCCCATGAGTACTAATTGTACCCTATTTTTCTCAGACCTGTTTTTTGTATCATTATACTAAATATATGAAGCAGAATTTATTCAAAAACTTTAACATGGAAGAAGTCTCTTGCTTTGGCCTTCAATTCAACATCTAGCTGTATCGATGATTTTTTATCAATTAACAAATGAACAGTGATTTTTATTCATAAATTGATTCGATATAAGTATTCAATTAACCTCGAAATAAAAGAGATACCACGGAGACTGTGTGGGTCTTTTTTTCTGAGTTCACCGAGATATGTCTCGTCGACGAATGAAAGTAACTTCATATATTGTTAATTGATAAAACTTTGTCGATATATCCAAATGTGGAATTGAAGGCCACAGATTTTTCTTGTTTGCATGAAGAAAAAATATTCGAATAAATTTTACTTCATAGGAATAAAACAGGTTTGCTAAAAGGAGCACAATTCATGCCCATCGAAATTCCAACTGATAGCTGGAAGATTCCAAAGACTATATAGATGTTGTCAAAGAGGAACTCCACATCTTTTCAATATCAACCTCAGAGTACTCGTTTGTAGAGTAGAATGATGTTTAAAAAAGTAGTTTTGTAATGACCAATTACAATGTATCTTTATTTGAAGGGACTTCAGAGGTGTGCAATTAGCATCGCCCGACGCCCGGGGCTACCATTGTTTGGGGTCGGGCTAGTAGTTTTGTGCACGGAGGTAGCCCCTTGGGCTAGTAAAAATTAAAACTACCAATGTAATACATGAAAATCACTATTGGTATTTTCACTCATTTTTTGCTATTAAATTCTCAAGCAATGAAAAATTTTCGGCAGCATGCTCCAATTGTTCGTAAATCTCCATAATCTTACCCATTTTGCAGTACTACCTGAATTATGTACTTCCAAAAACGATCGATTTTATCTAATCCGAATTTCCTCTATTCCTCTGTTTATGGTAAATACACCTGCAGATATCTCATTAAATTATTTACAATCACTCAATCAACTAAAAATAAATGTTATGTGGTTTACATAAAAATATATTTCCAGCGTATTTAATGATTTAAGATGAAAAAATGATTGTCATTTCATTTTAGATAAGATAATTTATTTGAATTTATTTTTACTTTCTATCATAATTATCAATTTATATATGATTTAATTTTACTACTGAAAATTAAGAAGAATCAAATTTATTTTAAACCCTGACTATTTCAACAATAAACTATTTCCTTGTAATATAAGTTCCCCCCCCCCCCCCCCACATTTGGGCTAGTAACTTTTTACTTGGGGCTAGTAACTTTATTGCTTCCACTAGCCCGTGGGCTAGTACTTAATTTTTTTAATTGCACACCCCTGGACTTCATGAAGTTTAAGAATCCAGTATAGGTAGGGTAAATCGAATTCACTTTCCTGACTGGAATGTTAAGAGCATTAAAAAAACTTAAAATACAATTTTGAAGAAACTCTCTTATTTCATAGTCAAGGTTTGAAGACTTTTCTGCCTGGTTTTAGTATGAAAACTGTCCAGTGAGGTTGCTACTGAATGACTTTTTGATTATCAAAAATCACAGGTTTTAAATTTTTTTTGCAGTCTATTTTAGAAATAGAAACATACAGGGTCCGAAAAAGAATTGTTCAAATTATCTCAAGGCAATGACAAAATGTTAGTGATTGCTGAATATTCACAGAAAAAAGATGGAAGTTGAAATTTCTAACGAAAAGCAAAATATTTAAGCTTGATTCACTTTTCCTTTTTGAAGTGTGTTTATATTTTACTTTAAATTATGACATCAGTGTGAACATTTTATTATGTTTTTCCGAGGATCGTTTTTCTGGTTATCAGCATTTCTAACATCGACTTTACACACTTTAAGTCTGTTTGGTGTTTTTCTTCTGCTACACAGTTAACGAATTTGCAATACTGATTTTTTAATATCTGTTGTTACAAATACACGTTTAATATGCATATCTACCAAATTCTTCAGACAGAAGGCGTATTAACTGAGACTGTCATGTTAGGACTACGGAAGTTTTGGACGAATCTTCTCAACTCCCCTTCCCAAGCACGTGCAACATCATTCATGCGATCATCCTGATAATTCTGTACTAAATATGTGATGACGAAAGCAGTAGAGCTGTTGAAATGTTGTACCTGATTTTCTCCTGTAACAAAAGCGTTATAAAAATAATGTTACTTATATCACTTATATATCAGATTTCAAAGTAAGACTGATTCTTATTTTCATTTTCAGGGTTACTTTTTGATAAATAAATTAAAAAAAATACCTCCATAGCCGGCTAGAACCATATTTGGATAAATGGCTTGATTTGCAGAGGAAGAACAAGACATGTTAAGTCCCACCGTATCTATTTCTGAAGATTCACTATGTGAAAAAAAGTTAAAAAAAAAAAACAGTAAAACCAATTTTACCGAAGGCGTGCAAACATTGCAAAATGTTTTCTGTAATTTTTTCTTTGTTGTGTAAAAAGTTTATAAACCATCTATGCCCGCTAGTGAATCTTGAGAAATTTTATATATGTATTCTCCATTTTCAACTGTTTCCCCACGCAAAAACCTAATCTGTTTGCAATGGAGCCGTTTATATGTGATTACATTCTTTTTAATGGTGTTTCACTCTTCAAAAATAAAGCTTTAAATCATTAACGGTTTTCAGTGAAATTTTTTTTAAGACGATTGCAAACTTACACCGCGCAAGATGAGAAATGATCCAAATAATCTGCAAGGATGAAAAATCCAAATGTATCCATCTTGATTTTATCGATGGCTGTGCGATTACTTTGCCAGTATTCAAGGATGCTGAATACAGCACAAGAGTCACTACCATAATGTGGCCTGTAGCAAATGTCCTCCAATCCAATTTCTTGGTTTTCAAACTTAACAGAAATATTTCCTATGCTTTCTTGAAAATCTAAAAGCTGAAAAATACTGTATTGATTTACTAATATCCTTAGACGCCAAAGAATACAATCGGTAAACATTCGTTTTTTCGGTAATCATTCTAAACGTCTCATTCTCGTAATTAAAAATGATTAGAGCGCTGTATCGAACATACTCCGATAGTTTTGATATAGGATCAATTGTTATTGTTTTTAAATGAACCAGAAGAGCATGAATACATTAACTTACTAAATGCAGAAAACTCTTGTCAAATAACGACGTGTAATTCATACACTCATCTGATGGCGGGGGTAATCTATGGGTGACAACAGTATGGTTATTTGGTCTAGTTACCACTACTTGCTCTTGTCGGTAAATTGGCCTGAAATAGAATCAAAATGTAAACATTATATTTCAGACAGAAAATCAAATACTCCATTTTGCGATGAATTTGCAGAAATCAGATCATAAAAAAGATTATTCTAATTCCTTTTTCATGAAATTCATTCATAATCAAGTAAAAAAAAAAACTCTATAGACTTTGTAATTGTTACACAAAGCATTGTCACAGAAAACAACTTATTTAAATAAATACCTTATGCGTCCATCAAAACATGATCCATCGGGACATGGGCGAGGTTTAGGTAGCTTAGGAATCCCACAATCATGCTTTGAACAAGATTCTGAACAGGGGATTGTAGATTGGTTCATTGGGTGATAATCAATTCCTCCTATTGTTACAATCTTGTTCGTTTTAATAAAGGAAATTTCAAACGGGGTACGACCATTTGACGTAGAACCAAGGTAGTCTAAAAGGTTTTCCGGTGTACACTCATTGGCTGATCTACCGCAGATGATGGATAAGGCTTTGTCATTTGAACTTGGGAGTTCAACATTCTTACAGGAATTAAACATTCTGTAGAGAAAGTCACGTGATATGATGTAATCCAATGAACGTACTGTCTTGCCATGACTAGTGACTTTGAGAAAGGTTTTCTGATTTGGACTGCAGGTCATTTGGCAAAATATACCCATAAAATTATGTAGACAAGATGGGCACCTCGAAAATATTTGTTTTATGAGCACCATCTCCTTTTCCATGACAGACAGTTGTCTTTCATCACAACATGTTTTCGTATTACTACCTGAAATATTATAAAGAAAAAAATGCCATATCAATATATAATTTCCGGAAACTCAGAGAGAAAAATTTTGTTGTGGTTCATTTACATGCTTCTTTCTTAAACAGGAGTATCTTTTACATGGCTATATGTACAATTAAGATGTAACTTTGGACCCTCATTATTATCTCCTCGCAAAGAAGTTGGGGGTATATAGTGACGCGCTTGTGAGTGTGTGGGTGAGAGGGTTAATGCGTGCATAACGGAAGTGATAATATACATCGGGTTCGATGTCACTATAAGCCTTGCTGAATTAAATATCTGTACTTATTCTAACTTGTTTTTCGTAATTTTTGTATCGCTATCACAGAAATATAAATAGAATAAATTAAAATATTTTTTCTTCGACTCGAAGTTATCCGCTCCTTAGCCAGGAACAATAGCTCTTAAAGTTTTAAGTCTCAAAATTAAGCTTGAAATTGAAATTTCTTCATGCAACAATTTTCATTTTATGCACCTAAATATGGTTCAAGGTTCTCTGAAGTCTAAGAAACGGACTTTTTAAAAGTAGACATGCGTTAATAGGCCTCTTAGAAATGTGCTCTTTTTCGAGGGGATGTTCCGCTTTGCGGTGCCCTTGTTGAATCTGCATCATATGAATTTACGCCTTCCTTGTTATTAAGGGGTTTAAAAAAGGCTTTTTAAAAATTTATATTTGACCACCCATGTCATTTCCTGTTTGAGCCTTTAGTCATGATGCGAGGAATTTCATTATATATAACACTAAAAATTAAGATAGTTTCATTTTATAATTTGACAATTTATATAGTAATTGATCCGAAGAATATATGCGTGCTTGATTTTCTAATACCATTATAACTTTAGACAGGCCAGTAGGAAACAATTTCAGTTGAGGGGGGGGGGGGCACAAATCAATATTTTCATTTGAGGGGGGGGGGCACTTCCAAGCAAAAATTCCTTGACAAGGAAAAAAAGAAGAAAAGGTTATCATTATTGAGTATTATTGAGGGGACACAAGCATAAAGTAAATATGTTTTCTATCAATTTTATACTATATATCGACAAAATTATTTGGATTGCACGACCCTCCCCCTCCTTGGCCCCGGCTCCTACGGCCATATTATAAGCCAGTGGTTGTCCTTGGAGTCATTTATATAATATTCTAATTTACACTTCATACGAATGTTTTAGGACTATTATTTCTTGCCAATTGTCAGATAGACCAAAATCTCTGTATCTATTACATGACAATATTCTTTTCTTTTTAATCTACTGTGAAAAAGCTGCAGACGTTTCTTACAAAAGATTTTTTTTTCTAAAATTTCATTTCATTTTAAAAATACTGAAAAAAAAATTCTTGAAAAGAAGTGAACTAGAATAACCTTAACAGAAAAGTATCAGCAGATAAATCATTTTATATGTAATTTGAATAAAATATATAATTTACCCTTGAATTAACAGACATTAAATCATTCTTACATCAGAAGGATGCAATTTAACATTGTTCACAGTTCAACGACACGGACTGGACGGGGATCAGAGTAGAATTTGATGCAATGTGCCTATAACTTGCAATCATCGACAAATTATTTGCTATAATTGTTCGAAACGCTGTAAGATCTATATCAAAAATTATTTGAATCTAAGTATTTATACCTTCAAATAAATCAGGACAGTAGTTTTTCAAAATTTGAAGAGATTTTGGGTCCTTCAGAGTGACCGGTTGACCACTGTAGGTACATGGTAGTGGACCTGATGAGGTTTGTTCACATTCTGAGTACATGACACACTGTCCATTAATGCCGGTCTGAAAATAAATGAAAAATTGGTCATGTAACCTTTATAGTTGTATTATTAAGAATTAGAAAAGGGAAGGAGTGTTTTGTGTAATTTAACTTTAGAAACTATGGCGGAATTAATATCACCTTGTCAAGTTACGTATAGATAAAAAATTTAGACGTAATTTGATATGGATTTTTACTAACTAATGATATTATTGTCTTTTAACAAATCAATTAAGGATAAAAAGTTGTCATTGTGAATGGATGCATTAAGTTATAGCCTTATCTTTAATTTGTTGTCCCTTCCTTTTCTGTAGATACATTCTAGTACAAAAGAGTCATCAGATTAGATCTTAAGCCTATTTTTATGTTGCAGAAAACCTGCTTGACATTGTTTATGTGGGAAGTTTTTATCTAGAAAATACAGAATACTCACCAGTGTTTGCACTGCTACTAACAGTAAACTCGTCGCAATGATAGACTTCTGCATAGCCATTTTGTTTTCTAAAGTTTAGAATATGATAGCAGGTGAATTTATGTATCGTATGTTTGAAATTCCAATTTCAGAGGGGAATCCCTCGACGTAACATAGAGATAAATGAATGTTTCGCCATCCATGTTATACTGATAATTGGTTATTTGCTTTGAAAGTAGTAAAACCTACTGGTTTGATAAAAAGGTTATAGTAAACTCTCGCTTTAAAGAAATGATAAAAAATGATTTCGAGCAAAAGAAAAAAAATCCCTGGAGGAAAAAAAAGAATATTATATATAAAGGTATTATGAAAAACATCTATCCTTCTGTTTTCAGTCATTCAGAATTGACCAAAGAAGTAGAATACTTGATCATTATGTATTGGTCCCAGCTGACAAAGCAGGTAGCAACATAGTCTTTGTTTGTAAGGCTTATTATTACAATTATATTAGAGGTTCTTGGATTTAATTCTACGAGTGGTATTGCAACTTCTACTCATAGTTCCCTTTCAAAGATGGGATTCTTCAAAACCATATGTCAGTTTTTAAATATTTTTAATATTCCCAACAAGCAAATTGATTTCGAATTACCATACCTATACTGGATTCCAAAGCTTCATAAAAATCCTTAAATCAAAGATATACATAGCGTGTTCTGGAAAATGTTCTACCAAGTCTCCTTCTTTACTCCTCACCAAAATATTAATAGCAGTGAAGGAGAAACTTCAGGAGTACTGTACAACAATTTATTCTAGAAGTGGTGTTAATCAAAAGGATACTTAAGAGTTCCAAGAAATTTTCGAAAAAATTGAAATCACGAAATTTTATCAAAATCACTAGAAACAAACCGTACGAGTTTTCAGCTCTTTATACAACCATTCCCAACGATAAATAAAGTACAAGTTCTCTGACATCATTGACAGGTGCTTCTTCAATAAAAATGGAACAAGTAAATTTGCATACCTCGTCATTGGTCATCTGTAAACTTATATTGTTAATCATTAATCTGATTCTACAAACAAGGACTTCAGGGTTGATATTATACGATATTTGTTATTTACAGTATCTATGTAGTTTTTGGAGACCAAGTTTTCGAACAATCTGCTGGATCTGCTGGAATTCCTATGGCTACTTATTGTGTCCCGTTATTAGCAGATCTATTTTGTATTCTAATGAAGCAAAATTTATTCAAAAGCTTCGACATGAAAAAAAGAAATTTCTTAATGTGGCATCAATTCATCAAACGTTGATGACAAACTAACAAACAAGTTTTATGATGAACGAGAAGACTTACACTTTTCTATCATCAACTTCCCTATACTTGTGTAGCAATAAACCATTATCACCTGCATTTGGAGATTATGTTTCCAAGTGATTCGATAGGCGAGAGCATGATCTATGTTCGAACAATTTCTAAAAGAAGACAGACTTCTAAGTTGATGATACAATGATATTAACAATCTGGTTTAAAGTCAACATTTCCCAAAGTCTATGGTCGATACAATGATCTTCACAATCTATCGTTAGGTCGAATGTTGACTGACATCTGTCATTCATATTGTTAGGACAGATTTTTCCGTTTACCTTATCATTACACTGGGCACAAGGCGAATGTGACATGTCTACATGGAATGCTCACTCCTCCACGGCACCTGATCTCGCCTCTGTTTTCAGAGGTCCATGGCGGCTTTGCTCACAATTTGTATTATTTAATTGGACCTTTGAACTTGATTATTTGTGAGCATTTTCTTTCCATTATAATTTTATTGCCTAGGTCATAGCGACTGTGTTTCCTCATTTGTTAGTTTTATCAATAACATAACGAATCTTTTCTGACTTTAACTGAAAGAAAATCCATTCTCTGATTACTCAGACAATAAAATGCTGTGCAAAGCTATCAAATTTTGTATGCAGAATTTTTTTTCGATTTTTGATTCAAAATACCTTAAAAATGGGACAGAAATTATCAGTTTCAAAGATGCAAGTTTTGAAATAAGAATACTGAGAGTATCAACAAGAAAAGACCAACATATTTTTAGATTCAGGTACCATTTTATTCTAAAAACCTTTATTTATCGACAAATATGATCCCAGGAGAACGTAGGACAATTACATTTATTATATAGCTAATATAGTCTATAGTTAAAAACTACTAAAGGTCAAGACAATTTTAGCGTTAAAATACTGAGTTTGCATTACGTATACGAGTATGTCCCAAAATATCGAACACTCCTTTGTAAGCCAAAGAAAATATCGCCTGGTCGAAGTTAACGGCAGTATTTATGATGGGTAGTACGTCGCAGCTTACGGCTAGATAAGATGTGTCTATTTTCACACGAAATTGAAATTATTGATTGATAATTTAGTACCTATACGCCTCGATAAAAACCCCAATAACTAAATCATAACGCTTGGTAGTATCACTGGAAATGATGTAATATTGAAAATTTCACGAACAGACGATGATCATGCTGATATTGCACAGTTTTCATTTAAAAACCGGTACTGAATAATTCTCAATTTTTCTTAATTCTTAATTTTTTAAAAGTTATTTCATTTAATAAATTTATGTATAATAATGGGAAAATGTTTTAGCTATATAATAAAGGAGTTATTGAACTTATATTACAAGCTCGTACATTTGAACAGCCAACTCGACCAATATTCACCAATATAAATTTAAAAAAAACCCTATGTTACTGCATGTTTTAAACCTCTAACAAAAATCCATTTTTCACTGATATGTTTCACACCAATTGTTAGGCCATTATTTTCATACTAAATTTGACTAACGATTTTTCCGTCTTCCTCATCAATACATAGGGCTCAAGGCGAATGTGATCGATCGACAGAGGATGCTTTTCTCCTCCTTATTACCTGATCCTACTTTTAAAATTTCCAGGGGTCCGTTTCGTATGCCCTGTTCAGAAAGAAACTGGGGGGATAAGCCGAGCCATATGCCTACATAACGATCGATAAAAAATCAATAAATGCATTTTACAAAAATTTCACTTTTTGTTGAATTAATGTAATGCTTATTACCATTTGCATACAAATTTGACAAAACCTGAATACTGTAACAGCGAAAATGATTCTGATTAACACAACAAAATGGCATCAAGCTCAATTTTCACAGAAACTGACATAAATTGGATGATATAACTACATTTTTTAAATAGAGTGGGTCATCATACCATTTTTTTGAGAACGATTACTGAAAGGCAATGGAAAGATGTTGCTTTTTACACTTGCAAAAATTTGGTATGAAGACCCACTCTACATAAAAAATTAAGTTAACTTACTTAAATTTTTACCGTGGTCTTCAAAAAAATTCTAAGTCCAAAAAACGCTTGCTAAATATAGAGAACTGTGTGCTATTTAAATAGACATGTAAGTGTGACTCCGTGGTCTAGTGGTTAGCGAGGAGCTCTTTAAAGGGACTTTTATTGAGGAAAGTGTTCGAGTCATTCTCTGATTTTTTTTGTTGTTGTTTTGTTTTGTTTTAATTTTGTTTTACTTTATAAAAAAATGTCTATAGGAATAACATATTTTTCACTGGAAATAAAATATATACATGTAGTAATGAACTTATTTACAGTAAATTATTTAAAATGCCGGATAAAAATTATAATAGATATTTGAATACTTTTATTCCCGTTTTTATTTATTTTAAATAAAAGCGCTTCTAGATCACCATTATCATTATATACGATGTTAACATTTTTTATATTTGATATTTTTATAATATCTCCACAATAAGTGTAAATACTCAATATGCAGATTAATTAATAGAATTAATAGAAGTCCTTACCCATGTTAGACATTTGTGACAGTAAATGAAAATCAACTGTTTAGCTCGTTTAGAATATAAATATCATTTTGAAAACTACGGTAAACATTAAATGCTTAAGTAAATTCGAACAATTGAGAGATTTTTTCCAATAAATGTTCTTGCATAGCCGAAAAATGGGCATGGGCACATGGCTCGTCTTATCCCCCCTTATTCTTTGTGTCTTTTAAAAAATACTGTGCTACAGCTTATTCTAGAAGTGGTGTAAATGAGATGTGGAACATTAAAATCAACAAATTTTTCAAAAGTCTATAACATCAAAAATTACGACTTTTCTACACTTTATACAACAATTCCTCACGTTAAATTAAAATCTAGACATTTTTGATATCATAGACAATTGCTTTTTAAATAAAAACGGAACTCAGAAATTTTCACATCTTGTGATTGGTCATCAGCAAAATTACTTCGATCGTTAAAAACCACTTTGACTGTACACACAAGTACTCTAAAGTTGATATCAAAGGATGTTGGAGTTCTGCATTGACATCATTTATGTAGTCTTCGGAGACCAAGTTCCAACAAACTGTTGGAAATCCAATGGGCACTTTATTGTGCTCCTTTATTAGCTGACCTGTTTTTATATTCCTATGAAACAGAATTTATTAAAAAACTTTCTACACGAGAAGAGGGAAAACACTAGCTGTGGCCTTCAATACGACATTCAGATATATCGACGATGTTTTATCATTATTAGTTATTTTCATTCGTAATGTCGACTCGATATATCCCAGTGAACTGAAATAAAAGACATCACAGTCTGCCACTTCTGTTTCATATTTAGATATTGTACCGAATATAGACGATAAAGACCAATCAATGACTAAATTGTATGACAAACGAGATGACTTCAGCTTTTCTATCGTCTACTTTCCTTATTTATGTAGTAATATTCCACTATCACTTGCTTATGGTGTTTATGTTTCCCAACTTATTCGCTACTCGAGAGCTTCTCTGAGTACGATCAATTTTTAGAGCGAGGCAGGCTAACCACTGATAAGTTGATGTTACAGGGATTTCAACAGCCTCGTTTAAAGTCAGCATTTCGTAAATTTTATGATCGTTATTATGTCCTTGTTAGCAAATATAACCTATCACTGGGTCGTATTTTGGCTGACTTGTTTTTTTAACAGTTCTTAGGTTTTTGTTTTTGTACTGAATTGACTACGGATAGTTCTGTCTATCTGATCAATACATAGGGCTCATGGCGGGTCTGACTGATCAACAGGGGATGCTAGGTACCTGATCCCACCTCTGGGATTTCAAGGGGTCCGTGTTTTATACCCTCTTCAAATATTTGTATTGTTTGTGGATTTTTTGAGATATATCTTTACCTTTTACATTTGAGATCGATCAGTATTCGTTATCTTCACCATTTTCATGCCTACTCCAAAGATGACATCAAAACAAATTTACATATCTGAAAAGCAATGTTGCTAACATTCCCTTATCGCTTCCATTGAAACTGCAATCCTTTCGCAGTATCATGTCACATCGTTCATTATACCACCGTCTTTGATTTTCCTCAATATAATTTACTATCTCCATCCATGATTCTACTCTGCTCTGTTTTTGCAAAATATAAAATAAAACTAATTGTCGTAAATGGGCATTTATTACAATACCGAACAAATTAACCAAGTTACACATGACCGTTTTTAATATATCCCTTATAGGATATAAAAACACGTCATAAACCTGTAAGTTACTCGTTCAAATTTGGTCTCAAGGGAAATTATAAAGAAGCACGGTTCTTGGATGATCTTTATTAAATAATGAAACGTTAACAATGACAGCTTTTTGAAGAGTACTTACCATATTTAATTGTATTGGTTGTATTTCATAGGTATAGGACTGATACAACGGTCAATACCACAGGTGCTTGTAGACAGGACCCTGTTTCTACGATGCACCCCACTTTTAATGGGTTTATTTATCATCATTTATTAATGTAATTTTCTTTATTCTTTTTTAATCTCTTACTACTTCATCTACATGTTCCTGATAAAAAACCACATTAAACTACGACGCAGATGCAATTTCTAATAAAATTCGTTACCCCTATATATATATATATATATATATATATATATATATATATATATATATATATATATATATATATATATATATGTAGGACTCCAAAGTGCGATGGGACTTCAAAGTCCGATGGTCACGCCAAAGTCCGATGGTCAGCGCCAAACCCCGATGGTTTGACACGCCAAAGTCCGATGGTGCGGAAAAAACGATTGACGTTTGTGACGTCATAGTACTACTGCGCCAAACTGCAATGCCGCGCCATGCCAAGGTCTTAAATAAGTATAAATAAATATCATTATGCGAAACTAACCCTAATCGCTCGAAAAGTGTGTAACAACTACCTAGATATCTTGGGTGGGTGCGAGACTAACCCTAATCACTCGACTAGTGTGCGAGGACAAACCCTAAATCTCTCGGGTTGGTGCGAAGCAAGGACTAACCCTAATCAGTCGAGTGGTGTGCGAGGACTAACCGTAATATTTCTGGTGGGTGCAAGCAATAAGCAAAATCAGTAAAATTGTATGCGAGGACGAATACTGAACTGATGGCTTTTGAATGCAGGACAACGGCGTCAAGGATTGACGTCGGAATATTGTGACGTCATAAACGTTGATTGTTTCTTGGCACCATCTGACTTTGGCGTGTCAGACCATCGCACTTTAGCGCAGAGCGTCTCATAGGAAACGAGCCATCGGGCTTTGGCGTGACCATCGGACTTTGGCGTCCGTACCGACATCAAACCATCGGGGTTTGGCGAGACCATCGGACTTTGGCGTCACCATCGGACTTTGGAGTCTTACATATATATATATATATATATATATATATATATATATATATATATATATATATATATATATATATATATATATATATATAATTACGAATTGTAAGTCCTAGAAAATGTCGGATTACCAAACATACGCACTTTTGGGAGTATAACAAGTATATAGCAATAAATGTTAGTACGTCCTTGGATTTTTTTAGTCTTATAGTACAGCACTTAAAAATATTACAGAAAACATCGTCGATGCATAATAAAATGATGTAACGACGTTGCATGTGATTGGACATTTATAATTGCCGTTCTTCAACCTCCTGTAACGATAACTTTTAGGAGATACACGACCAAACTTGGAAAAAAATAATATTTTTTCAGACCAATGTCACAAATTTCCATTGATAACTCATTTTTCACGAGAGACCCCTTTATCTGTAGATCGGTCCATATAGTATAGAAAAGATGGTTGAAAAATCACAGGGAGAATTACTTTGAATCTTTTCCGGCAACAACAGAACTTAAAATGCTGTGAAAGGAAGAACAATTTATTAAACCTTGGCTACAAGGGTAAATTCTGGAAATCCACAAACCCAGCAATATCAAAGTACGTAACAGATAATTCAAATATAATGATGCTATATAGTTAGGATAATGAGGCATGAATGTCAACTGACTTACACAAACTATTTCGTGTTATCCCCATGCGGGCTAAACAAAACAAAAGTTCTTGAGCGATATTAGTAATCCGATCCAATTTCCTTTCACATTGGTCTCTCTTTGTCTTAAAGATAAGGCATTGTTTTTATCCCAATTTTATTTATCTATAATTTAAAAGTCTACCTGATCATTAAAAACTATGGAAATACTTTTTGTATTTAATATCATAAAAATTCTTGTATAATTCTGTTATTCATTTTACCTCTTACATGTTTTGATTATATCAGCAGTGATTAATCATCATAGGTGAATAGCAAAGGGGAGTAACTTTTCAGTAGAATACAAAGTAATAAATTGACCAAGTGACCAGACTTTCAAAAATCTGGTAAAAATATCCTTGCTTATTACAACTTTATATTCTCTGCTTGCCTCCTGGATGCAGGGAAGATTTTCAAAGAAATAATGTATTTTCACTATAAATTCGACATAGCACCAACCTAACACCAGAACCCCTCACACAGGGGCCAAGAAATTCACTATTTCGGAAGAGGCACCCTTGCTCATCATAACCATGCACTTAATATGTTAGCTAAAAACCCATGGGCAGAAAAGAAGATTTTCAAAGCAATAATTCATTTTTTACTATATATTCAAAAGAGCCCCACCCAGCACCAAAACCTTTGACTCAGGGGTTATGAATTTCAAAATTTCTCAAAAAGCATCAAATCAAAAAATTAATGCATTTTCAATATAGCCCCGCCCTAACACCAGAACCCGAACCCACTGACCCAGGGGTCATCATAACCATGCACTTAGTTTACCTGCTATATTTCCAGGTGCAGAGAGGAAGAATTTCAAAGAATTAATGCATTTCCATTATGTGCTAAATACTTAGGAGCAGAGAAAAAGATTTTCAAAAAATTAATGCATTTTTACTGTAGCGCCGCCCAATAAGGTAAATGTTCAATTAACAAGTGGTGCGTTAGCAATTTTTTCTAGTGCATATACATGTATGTATTAATTCATGCTGGCGTTTTCTAACCTGTATACATAACAAGTTTTACTACTTTGTGTTACAAATAAACATTGAAACGACTAAAGTCTTCAGAAGGAAGGCGTCTTTACAGACAAGGTCATGTTAGGACTGTGGAAGTTGTGCACAAATCTTCTTAACTCCCTTTCCCACGCACGTGAAACATCATTTATGCGATTATCCTGATAATTCTGCACTAAAAATGTTATGATGAAAGCAGTAGAACTGTTGAAATGTTGCTCTTGATTTCCACCTGTAACAGAAACGGTGAAAATGAGTTAACTTCTTGCGGACTTTCAAAGTAGCATGGTCTTTGATTTAACATTTTTAGATCCTTAAATTAACTATATAGCATAGCTAATACCTCCATAGCCGGCCAGAACCATATTCGGATAAATTGCTTCATTTGCAGTTGACTTGCAAGACAAGTTTAGTCCTACAGTATCTTTTTCTTTGCTGTATCAAATAAATGAATTAAAAAAAAAAGAATAAATTAGGAAAAAACTTATCAACTACTCTGTGGCACACAAGTTTTGCAAAGTGATATTTGTGATTAATTTTCATGTTCAGTAAAATGTTTATGTACAATTCATGTAACCCAATGAATCTCCTCTTTTTTAACATTTTTTTGAAAATCTTTTCTTGCAATGGAGCCTTATAAAAGAATTTATGGGATTACGCCTTTATAATGGTATATCATCCATCTTCAACATACGTTATTTCACCCTGTAGCGTTCAGTGAAAATCTTGTGAAGACATTTGAAAACTTACACTGCACAAGAAAAAAAATGATCCAAATAATCCGCAAGGACGACAAATCCATATTCATCCATTCTTACTTTATCTAGGGCTGAGTGATTACTTTGCCAGTATTCAAGGATGCTGAAAACAGCACAGGAGTCACTACCATAATGTGGCCTGTAGCAAATGTCCTTCAATCCAAATTCCTTGTTTTCAATGTTTATAGTAATATTTCTAACGCTGTTTTGAAAATCTAAAAGCTGAAAAATAGTACATGTACATGTATTTTGCTTTTTTTCAGATCAAACCTAAACATATCATAAATAAAAATCCAGAGACTGTTATTGGCAAAAACCATTTTTTGGCAAACCATTCATGTCTAAAGCCCTTTACTCTTTTTAAAATGATCAGTGTTCTTGATGCAAACAAGTAGCTTCAAATGATGGGAACAGCTGTAACAACCTTTTTAAATGAAGAAAGGAGGCAGGAATCCATTAACTTACTAAATGTAAAAATGTCTTGTCAAATAACGATGTGTAATTAATAATCCTTTCTGATGGCGGGGGGAACTTATGGCTGACAATCGTGTGATTGTTTGGTCTAGTTATCACTACTTGCTCTTCTCTGTAAATAGGCCTGAAATAATTAAATACGAATTAAAACCAAAATGAAAAAAAATCTTACAAACACAGACGAACGTACCGTCCTGCCATTACTAGTGACTCTGAGAAAGGTGTTCTGATTTGGGCTGCAGGTCATTTGGCAAAATATAGCCATAAAATTATGTAAACAGGATGGACACCTCGAAAGATATATTTGTTGTAGGATTGCCATCTTTTTAATCCTGAATAGTTGTCTTTCATCACAACAGGTTTTTGTATTACTCTCTAAAATTAATATTGACAACTCAAATGAAGATTAAAGAGAGTTAAGATATTTATGAATAAGATTTCTTTTAAGAAACAAATAATGTTAAAAATATAACTGTAAAATGTTCAAAGTTAGTTGGTCAAGTTATCAAATCATGTAATACCGAGAGGCGTTTCAGAAGATATGATCAACCCACTTCAAAATGAAATTCAACTTGTATTTTTTCTTATACTTTTGAGACGGACAATCATATATAATTTCTCTGTTTTTCATAGAGTATGACGAAATACTGCAAGGATAAATTGGTTTGGAAAGATGTTTCACTTAGAATTCAGAAGTTAGAAGAAGTTGATTAAATGATGCTGTATTGGAGCAAATAGTTCGCGAAATAGCATTTGTTGTCAATAAGGATGAGTAGAATGTTTTTCTGACTATTATAATCTTTAGTTTACGGATGAAATCGCACAAGAAACATGGTGTTGGACAAAAAAGAAAGTCGGAGAAATTTTGGGTGGAAAAGGTTTTGAGTCACAAGGCCAATTTAACACATTCAAATATATAATTATACAAAATTTTCTCTAACTTTAAAAATATTTATCCGATCTATGTTTTCAGTTAACCCTCAAAGTCTTGACGTATAATTATTGCTGTTTCTTTATCAAACCAATCTTATTCTCATTAGTTAGCTAATTCATGTATTTACGAATTGTTTAAACAATCTGTATGTGACAATTTATATACTAGTAGATTTCAGGAGGATATCTATGCCTTGGTTATTGATTCTGTTATATCCAGTTGTTCTATATTTATTTCTATTTACAACTTAGAAGGAAGTTTTAGATTTTTTTTTAAAAATTGGTTTCCGAAGAATGAACAGAGTAGAGTATTTGCATTACATGTAAATTACCTCTGCTTAAGAGTCTACCAATTGTATAAGCTGATCATTTCTTACAACAAATTAAACTTTTTTTTTACTCTCAGGGACACTTTATATTTTATAAATTGGTGATAAAGTTATCGAAAAATACGTGAATGTGTGCTTATAGGTTATGCATGCAGCAGATGGATCAACTTATGAATACAACAAAATGTAAAAAATATTACGTCCTATTTCAGATATCAAAAGTGTACAATCTTCCTTAAAAAAGAAGGATGCATTTTTCATAGTTAAATAACACATGCCGGCTATAGTCTGTAGTAGAATAGGACGTAATATGGAAATAATTTACAAATATAGAACAAAATATTTGAAAATTATAATTGATTTCTAAGTATTTATACCTTCAAATAAATCAGGACAGTAGTTTTTCAAAATTTGGAGAGATTTTGGGTCCTTCAGAGTGACTGGTTGACCATTGTAGGTACATGGCAGTGGACCTGAATCGGTTTGTTCACATTCTGAATACATGACACACTGTCCATTAATTCTGGCCTAAAAATGAAGAGAAGCATTTGTAATGTGAGTTCTACAGTTGTAAGATGTATACAGGTGTAGATATATTTGTTGCATTTAAGTACTGGTAAAGGTTTCTTGTCAAAGATTTACATATCATTAAACGTATGGATATTTGCTCCTAAGCAAGACACGATGACTCATAAAATTATTATTTTCTTGAATACGTTTTAAAATTAAACTTGAAAATGAAATCTTTTCGTGCAGCAATATTCGTTTTACGCAAGGATTTTTGAAGTCTTAGCAAGGTCTTGTAAAAAGTTGACATTTTCACCCAATTAAAGTATGAAAATAAATACAATTTAAGAAAAAAAATATTTTCCTTTAATCTTGCCTTTATACCAATGCTTAATAGCATGACTGGAAGTGATCTGTCTTGCAATGATAGCACAAACTTTTTACACTATGTATTATATAACAATTGACTTTGATAGAAAAACAAAAATACTGTATCAGTATTGGATACCTATAGTTTTTATCTTAAAATATTCCTGATGATCAATTTTTAATTAGAAAATGCACAATTGGTGCTTTTATTCACATTTCATGGAAATATATTTGAGACTTGATAATTTACTCTAAGTAATGTAAATCATATACGGTACCAATTTTGATGCACAAGATGCGCATTTCGAAAAATTAGGTCTCTTCAGTGATGCTCATGCCGAAACTTTGGAACACGAAATATTTATATAAAAAGAAAAAAAAACTTTGAAGAGCTGAAAAAGGGGTGTGAAATGATAAACTATAAGGAAGACATTCCTTCCTTCTGCAATATTACTTCAGGTCGGTTGTTATTCATGAGGATGTGAACTTACAACTTCCTTTAAAATCATATCTCTCTATCAATAAAATTAATGCATCTAATGATGAATATATAATCAGAGTACTATTGCTTACTCTGTAAAGTAGTACACGGAAATAAACCTCAGCAAGTTTTTTTTTAACTAAACATTACAAACTATCGTTTGCATTGCTGCTAAATAGGTCTCAATAAGTTTTCAATTAAGAAATCATTTAAGAATTTATCTGTTAGATGGGAAAACAACGTTTCCAATTGATAAGAAATTTTCTAGATATCTTCAAAAATATTCACAAAGTAGCAAGACATTTATTTTATGATTTTGCAAAATGACCACTGTAACTCGTTTCCCTCTTTCCGAAAAAAAATGATATAGAATAATAATTTGTTGTTTTTTGAATTTAAAAAGTTGTTCGATACATTTGTGTGAATAAAACATCTTCCAGTGAATAAAGGACTACATTTTGCAATGAAAGCAGAAAAATTTAATTTCATAGATCTACAGATCGAGATGTTATATATTAATGAAAAATTTCGAAGAGTATTGATATTTGTTTGCAGAGACTGATGTAGTTTTCCTTCCGTCCATTTTTCCCTGTCCATATCCCCACTCACAGAAAATTAATACGATAATTTCTTAAATAAGAGTGTTTTTAATAAAAAAAATTATATATACATTACTCACCTGTGTTTGCATTACTGCCAACAGCAAATACACAGCATTGATAGACTTGTCCGTAGCCATTTTGAAGAAAAAACAGCAATTGAATTTCATCTTTGCTAGCCAAGGCTTATCAGGCCTTTAAAAACCCTTGGTAGATTACGTCAATAAAACTATGGAAGATAATTTACATGCGGAAATAAACCTTGATTTGTTTTAATGTTCATGCGGGAAAATAGTTTAAAAATTCAAATCATTAACAGGAAAAAAAAAACACCTCAAAACACCAGAGGTTGGATCAGGTTCCGATCGCAAGGAGGAGGAAGCACCCTCTGTCGACCTGTCACTCCTGCCGTGAGCCCTCTTCAAAGTTCGGCTAAACGAACTATATAAAACTATGGCCTAACGATGGGTGGAAATAATGTTCCTAATCATATAACCCAACGAAAGTTTGTATTTGCAAACAGCGTCATTACAACGACCATAAAACCTGCGAACTGCATGCTGACTTTAAACCAGACAGATGAAAACCTTGTAAAATCAACTTATGTATCAGTAGTCAGAATATATTTGTTGAGACATAAACAATATCTGCAGGTGATTTTGGAATATTACTACATAAATAGGGAAAGTTAACGAAGGAAAAGCTTAGGTCATCCCATTTGTCGTATATTTTAGTTGTTAGTTGGCCATTAACATCTATAGTCAGTAAACATCCAAGATTGATACATATGTGGAAGACTCTTTGGTGTCTTTTATTTCGTCTTGACAGGGATATATCGACCCAGGGGCATATTGACATATGAATGAAAATAACTATTGTTAATTGATACATGTTTGTTTAACATCCCTTCGAGAATTTTGCACTCATATAGAGACGACACCACTTGCCGGTCGAGGGCTGCAAATCTAGACCTGTACTCGGCACTTACGGCCTTTGAGCAATGAGGAATCTTTTTTGTGCTAGTACCTTATGCGACATGGACCTCGGATTTTTTACGGTTTCATCCGAAGAAGTACCAGTCTCCACGCCGCACAGTGGATTCAAAACAGTAACGTAAGGAACATCTCCTTTCTCCGCGACTCTTGAGCAAACGCTCTTACCACTGCGCCACGTGGGCCACAATTGATACGTGTAGAATTTCTCCGATATATCAAAATGTTCAATCAAAAGCCACAAGTTTTCTTCTTATGTAGAAGATTTTGAATAAATTCTGCTTCATAAGAATATAAAAACAGGTCGGCTCATAAAGGAATAGAATTAGTGCCCATCGAAATTCACACAGATTTTTAGACGACCTGGTTTCCAAATACTACGCGTACATAGATATTTTCTATATGGAAGTATATCATTTTTTGATATCAATTTCAGAGTATTTCTGCGTAGAATCAGAATAGTACAAATCTCTTTTCTGCTTAAACTTTCAGTAAGGCGTGACATTCTCGTCGATACATAATTAGCGTCTCTCAAATAGTGACCTAGATTCTCATTGGTTGTTAATGTGTACTCTTCCCATCAACTTCACAGGGGTCCGTGATTTCGGGGGGGGGGGGGGGGGGCAAAGTCATTTTTCTTAATAAATATTTACTTTACAATGTACACGTAATAACTCCGCAAATTTCAGGGGGTCCGAACCCCATCTCGAACCCACTCTAGATCCGCACATTCCTGTAGTTTTAATAAGCATGTCCTCTATTCTTTCCTTAATGCCAGTGATCGTTGTCTGGAACACAAATGTGTGCATAATTATTCTCTTTCTCTGCCCCCACCCCTCCCCTGTTTTAAAACACCATTGCCTGTTTCATAATAAATGATAAAAAAGAGAGTTTTGTCTTTGGTGAATAAGCTTTAAAAATTAGATTTGGACAAGTGATGAATGAGTATCAGATAGATACATGGGCTGTGCGTCTAATTAGTATGTATTTCATTGACCACCGCATGTAGTTCTTAGGCGGGGAGGGTCATGAATAAATTACATTGTTATGTTATTTTTATTTAATGAGACATAAACTAGATGATAAAGAATACTGGTTCCTGTCTGATTTATATATGCTTGAAGTAAATAATTTGATACAAGATTTTCCGTTTTCCATTCCGCGTTTTAGCAACACCCACCAATATCAACTTATTTTGGCATATACTAGTAGTATCTATGAGTGAAATTGTAAATTTCATGGTCGCTGCCCCCCCCCCCCTCCCCCCGGGGGCTGTTTAGAAATAGTAAAACTAATCATCTAATTAAGAAAAGCAAACAACCTGTCGCTCGGTACATTTGATACCTTTTAGTCGAAGAACATTTTTAATTGACCAATACGAACTCGGGAATAATGTAGGACAGTTACATTTACCGCATTATTTTAACCTCCCAAGTTATCCTATTTCCCCATGCCTACTCCAATGACGACATCAAAACAAACAAATCCGAATAGCCATGTTGCTAATGTGGTTCCCTTATCGCCTCCATTCGAATTACCTTCCTTCTAGATCAACCCATTCATAGTATCAGTCCACTCAATGTGTCATACCATCGTACGATATAGGTCTTGAGGACAAAGATCGAGAAAACACTGTTCACATGTTGTTCTTTACATTTTGATTTATGAATGTTGTAACGTTCACAATGACAGCTATGAAGAAAGAATATTTACGATATTTAATTGTTCTGGTGTTCATAAAATGCACCTTTTCACAGGTAAGGGACTTTTGAAGATAACATGCATATATTTTCATTGAATATGTACTAGTATTTGTCAGATTACTTCTTACGTCTTCCTTAAAAGACACTTCAAAGAAATTTTTTTAGTAGACTTTAAAATTTTTTTGTTAATAGTTGTATTTAAATAAACTATTAACAATCAAATAAGGTCCATATTTATTAAATGAATAATTTTTACGCAGATTGGAAAGTGTCTCCAAATATTAATACTCAGATTCCATCTGAAAACATGAGAATTAAATGTTGCAGACAATTATCAAATACATTCCTTAGTGAGCCAGGAAAAAAAATGTTTGTAGCAACAAGGTTTTCATACCACACTGTCAATGGCAGGTTTAAATTTGATTAGTAATTTTTAACTGAAGAAAAATGAAAATATGGAATTACAGCAACTATATTCAGAAGAAATTTTAGTGTTTTCTTTAAAGGAGATTTTTCAAAACCCTTCTTAAAATCAAGAACTCTTCGAATAGTAAAAACTGCGAAGTAACATTTCCGGTGAAGAATAAGTATTTATCAGTTAATTCTGGAATTCGATAAGTTAGTACGTCTTAACCTTTAAAATGACCGAGTTAAAGGGAATGAAGGGTAAATGGTAGATAAAATCATTTCGAAATAAAATCAAAGTTAAGATAATTTATCTCACAAAAATGCCAGACTCTGAATGTTCTATTGGACTTGTATGAAAAATAGGTAATATTGCTTATAGGTTTTGTCTGCATTATAACTTCTCATTTATATGGTTTCAAATTAAAAAAAGGAAAACCAATCTGGCGATATACGTCACCTAAAATACACTAGATATAACCCTCTTATAGCAGACCATTGGTACATGTACTACTCCATTGTAACAAGAAAAACATTACTTTTCCATGTTCAATTCTCCTAAGCGAAGTCTACACAAAAAGAAATACAGTTGCTCTATTTTTAGAACTCTGGCAAATGTTCCATGTACGGGGAATGTCTGGACAGGCCCACAGGAAACTTGAATTGTAACTATGAAGGATCACCGAAAGTAATGAACGAATCGGAGGGACTGGACATTCTGCGGACATACTGTCCGAATCTGGTCACGAGTGAGTATCGTTATCACGGATGCTGGGGTTAGGAATTTTTTAAAATGCACCCACTTTCTTTTCATTTTAATTAGTCACTTGCTTAGAATACTGGTCAGGTCTCTGGATTATAATAGGCAGGTAATCTTCATCATCCTCTTCACAAATTATAATTAAAATAATAAGATAAAAAGAACAGGAAAGGGGAAAAAGACTTCTAGCTTTTGGGGGGATGGGGGCGTCTTTGTTGGCCTTCGGTTTTTTGAAGAAAACATGTATGAAGACAGATTAGTAAATTTTATAGGCGAAATTTAAATCCATATTTATCGACAGTCACTTGATGTTATGCTTTTTATATTTTATTTTTTGTGATAAGAAAGATATATAATGTCAGGTGTATGTTTATTTATTATATAACTTTTCGAATTACTTCTAAATTTTAGTGTACATATCATATAATATTGATAACTAAATACGATAAAATTATGCATTATAACATTAGTATCTGATAAAGTTTACTAATGCTGAGCATTTTTAAGGTTTGCGACAGCATTTAAATCTAAAGATTACTTTTTCCATGTGGGTTATTGATTAACTTGATTCAAACTTAAACAAGAAACAGGCTGCAATCAGTTCTCAAAAAAAAAAAAAAAAAAAAAAAAAAAAAAAAAAAAAATTAAGAAAAATATTTTATTCAATTTTTCACCTAAAATGTATCCAAATAATGAAAATTATTTGTACATCTTAAGTATAAAAACAAATATAAGCAGAAATTTCATAACATGAACGTACATTTAATATTAATATTATTAAAAAGAATAAAATATAAGAATGTTTTTAAAATTATGTACAAAGATTCAAATTTTCAACAGTAATTTTCTAGGAAAAATGTTTTCAGGTGATCAACCATTAACATGCTGCGATTTGGACCAGCTGAGATCATTCAAGAAGAACATGGGTGTTCCACAACAGCTGTTGCTCAGATGCCCGTCCTGTTACTACAACTTTCTATACCTCTTTTGCTATTTCACGTGTGATCCAAACCAAGCAGATTTTGTGAAAGTAAAGACAAAGATGCTCAATGTTTTTAATCCCAGCGATCCACGTGAAATAATAATGGAGGTGGATTACCATGTGAGTGAAGATTACGTATACGGAATGTACAATTCTTGTAAAGATGTTCAAATGCCAAGTACAAACGCAAAAGCTTTAGATATCATCTGTGGAAAGCCTGCCGCTGATTGTACTGTACAAAACTGGCTAGACTTCATGGGTTCTACTGCCAATGGACAAACACCATTCACCATCAACTATCATATACAGAACACATCAGCAGCTGATATTCGTCCAATGAACTACAGTACAACCCCCTGCTACAAGAAATATGGGAATATGTCAGCCTGTAGTTGTCAGGATTGCCAATCCACGTGTGCTCCCCTCCCTCCCCCTCCAAAGCCCAAAATACCGTGCACCATTGACGGAGTGGACTGTTGGTTCTTTGCATCACTTGTTACCTTTGTAGTGTTTTCTTTCTTCTTCATCTTTTTTGTCGTAATTTCTTTCTGTTACAATCGTGGCACTTCTGGCGAAAAGCAAATCAATAGAGACACTGATGTGTATATTGTTGATAAAAACAAAACAGAGAAGAAAGGGGTGTTCAAGGAAGAACCAAAAGGAAGTTGTTTTCAGAAATGGGGTTTGTGGATGGAAAGGACTTTGGAGAGGAATTTTCATCGCTGGGGAAGGTTTTGTGCTTTGAATCCTTTAAAGATAATTGTTGCTGGCATCATTTTGGGAGCTGTCTTTTCTGTTGGAATAGTGATGTTTGAAGTGACTACAAGTCCAGTAAAGCTTTGGTCTGCTGAAAAAAGCAGGGCCAGACTTGAAAAGAATTACTTCGACAACCATTTCGGGTGATGCATTTTTTTTATTTAAACAAGAAATTTAAAAATTGAAAATATCAATATAACATAGAAATATTTTAAAATTTATTTAGGTAGCATTTTTGAGAAGTAGTTTTTCTTTGTTAAAATTAGGATTAATTTATTTAATTTTTGAATTGCAGCCCATTTTATCGAACTCAGCAACTGATCATCACACGTCCAGAAAACGCCACAGGTGTCAGACATGAAGTCCCAGGAGTGCAATATGGTCTTTACCGGAATTACACTTCCATATTCAATAAAGCCTTTTTACACAAGGTTTGCTTTATATTTGAATGACTTTAGTGTACAGACGGAATTTCAAGTAAATTGAGAGAGAGAGAGAGATTTTATCTAATTATGTCGCAAAATATTAATTACAGGTTCTCGACCTTCAGCTAAGTATTCAAAATATACAAGCAGACTATGAAGGAAAGAAAGTGACACTTCAGGATATCTGCTTCCAGCCTTTGGCTCCTGATAATACTCATTGCACAATACAAAGTATACTGGAATATTGGCAGAACAACCATACAAAGTTAGATAAAATCAAATATGATGATTATACAGGGACATTTCTTGAAGGCGATTACTTAGACCATTTTTCAGATTGTGCAAGGTAAAGGGAATTTGAAAAAGACGTATACTATGCATGCATTTCACTTCTCATTATACGTATGCAGAAGCTTGAAGTTTTTGTGACACAAGACCCAAGCATTCCAGAAATAAACATCAAATGTTAAAAATCTTTGCAGCATGTCTTGCTCTACACTGAAATAATTTTGCAAAGTGGAGGCTTCATTAAATGAAAACGTAAAACCGGATGTAATGGTATAATTTCTTGTTAAAATCTCACTTGTATACATTAACTATCATTCAGAGCACCAGCGTCTGTGTCAGATCAGCATCATCTCGACCTGTCATGTTTAGGAGCAAGTGGTCAGCCAATCTTTCCATGGATATCTCTTGGTGGTTTCACAGGTAATTGCTTGTTGACAATATAAAATGAAAAACAAGAAAACAAAGGAACAAATATCATTACCTTCACTGGTGAATTCTTCATCTATCAAGCACGTTCTCCTACTAGGATAGTTTTGAAAGACTTCACGAAACCAACTTCTTTTCTAACTTACCTCTACATTGTTCCAACAGGTGAGAATTATAATGAGTCCACAGCTATGGTCATCACATTTGTTGTTAACAACCACGTCGACGAAGCACAGAATGAAAAAGCTAAGGCCTGGGAGAAAGAATTTCTAAATTTCATGAAGAACTTCTCCGATCCTGATATGATCATTGCTTATTCAGCCGAGGTAGGGTTAATAATAAATCTCGATGCCCTCATTTCATACAAAATCCTTTGATCTGATATTCTTAATTGTTCTATCCACTTATCGAGGCTGAGACTGTTTTGCTTCAAAAGTCTGCTTTTTTATCTTTATGCAGTGTTTTTGCAGTATGAAATCAATGCTCTTTTAAATTCTCTCTATATGAATATATATATAAGCCATTCTTTCTTTTTCGTAGCGTTCCATTGAAGATGAAATTCAGCGTGAGAGTGCCTCAGACGTTTGGACGATAGTTATTAGTTACATAGTTATGTTTGGGTACATCAGTATTACACTGGGAAATTTTGGACAATGCTCAAGATGTTTTGTAAGTTTCCCTCTCCTTAAGCATCGTTGTTTATTGATTAATGTAAGCACAATATTTTCTGTTAATAGAACTGAACAACTAAAAACTGGAATCTACTCATACAAGTATATATCTGAAGCATAATGTCATTCAACATTAATTCAACATTACACTGGTATGCACACATATTTCCAGTATTTACATCACTTTTTCCACAATACTTGAGTATTCTACAATTTTTTACGTACTATTTCAGAAATGTATCTTATCAAATTTGGATTCTAAACCAGACGTCACTTTGTTTCTTATGTTCATACATTGTATTTATCTAGATCACCTCCAAAACAAGTCTGGGACTTTGTGGAGTTTGCATCGTCCTGCTATCTGTATCCTCGTCCTTGGGTCTCTTCAGCTACTGCGGGGTTGCTGCCACATTAATCATCATTGAAGTCGTTCCATTTCTGGTTTTAGCTGTCGGAGTCGACAACATCTTCATCCTTGTCCAAGCTTTCCAGGTCAAAATAGCTCTAGCTTGTTAATCTGTACTGTAGAACTATGCTTATGTTTAGTAAAAGTAAGCGCTCCGAGGTTCAGAAAGGTTTATATCACATTCGATAACCAGTTTTTAAACATACTGTTTCTTCTACAGAGAGATGAAGCTCTTACTGGTGAGGAGCTTGAAGACAGAATCGGAAGGGTCCTAGGCAAAGTTGGACCAAGTATGCTCCTGGCTAGCTGTGCTGAATCACTTGCTTTCTTCTTGGGTGGGTATTTTTCCAGATAATAATCACAAAAACACTTAAAAGCAAAACCCTTCTGACACAGCTGTAAAGACACTGAAATTTATCAAATTATGATCGATTCCATCTTTCTCTACAGGTGCCCTGACGGATATGCCAGCAGTACGAGTATTCTCCCTTTATTCAGCCATGGCGGTTTTATTAGATTTCCTGTTTCAAATAACTGTTTTTGTTGCAATTATGACGTTGGATGCCAAAAGAGAAGAAGTAAGTAAATTGATTTTATGTTACTGCATAAGGCCATTTTATTTTAATTTTCCCTGACAATTTCATCTATAAAAAATATCTTCCATATTTATTTATCAATTTTAGAGCAATAGGCTGGATATTTGCTGTTGTGTACAACTGGATAAAACAAAGAAAGAAAGAAACTCCGAGGGAATTCTTTTTAAAATTTTTAAGAACTTTTATTCGAAGGCTTTACTTTCCAAAGTTGTTCGACCAATTGTGGTAAGTTTACATGCATCATTTGTTTTCTTAAATGCTTTCAAAAACTTTTACTGTCAGTGAAGAAAGATAAAAACACTCACTATTTCTTTTCAGATGATCTTGTTTGTTGGATATTTCTGCTTCAGTGTTTCTCAGATTCATAAAATAGAGATTGGGCTTGATCAAAAGCTATCCATGCCAGATGTAAGTATTAATAAGAGATCTATATGCTGTTAGCATACTTAAATTCTGAATATCTGAGAAGGAATAACAATCTGTGTAGTAAAACAATGTTCAAATCATATCTCTTTCTTTCATTTTTTGAAAATATTGTAAGTCAAGATTGAAATCGAATATATAAACCTGATGCTCTTTTGTATATGTGTTTTCTGTGAAACAGGACTCGTATGTTCTGAACTATTTCGGGAACCTGAGTGAGTACTTGCACGTGGGGGCCCCAGTGTACTTCGTCGTGGAAGACGGTGTTGATTACACAACAAAGGATGGTCAAAACTTAGTATGTGGGGGGACAGGGTGTCCTGAGGATTCCGTAGTGGGTCAGATTAGCACAGCTGCAAAACAAGCAAATTAGTAAGTAAAAATTTACTTTTAAAATCAAAATCAGTGCATTTTTCCTCTTGTAGAACGCATTATACTTATTTCACAACACAGAGTAGTAAAATTGACGAACGAAATTTTATCTAGAAAACATTCATGATACATAATTTTGTTCTGTTAAAAGGTAAAGTAAATATGTTTTTTTTTAGGAAATATAAAGATAACGAACAGTAATCAAGCTCAAAAGTCTTTTTTGAAACAATGCAAATTTAAAGCAGAGCAAACACGGACCTCTAAAAAGAGATGGGTAAGATGCCATAGAGGAGTAAGCATCCCCTGTCGACTGGTCACACCCGCCGTGTGCTCCTTGTCATGATCGGGCAAACGGAAAAATCCGTAAAATCAGTAGTGACCTAAAACATGAAAAACGTCAGTCAACGTATCTATATATAAACATATTAAAAAAAATTCTTTGAATTTAGTACTTATATTGCCCATCCCACATCGGCTTGGATAGACGACTACTTTGATTGGTTAAGACCTGGTGGTGATCCCCCATGTTGTCGGATCTATAACCACACTGGAGAGTTCTGTGCAGCCACAGGTAATTTTCACCAAAAACTGGAATCTATGATTCCATATTCTACTTAATGCAACTGAGTTAACATGCATGTAACAAAATAAAATCAACAAATCTCTGATTTCTTTCAGTGGATAATACGAGTTGTCTAACTTGTCCAGTTCAAAAATCTGCTGATGGCCGGCCTGTTTCTCAAGACTTTATGAAATTTTTACCTTGGTATTTAGAAGACAACCCTGGAATAAAATGTGCAAAGGGGTAAGTTTTGAAATGATTTTATCGTGATATTCCAAAGACGCTTCCATTTACTTATATATATTTATGGAAAGTTTCTTTACTTTGTATCATGATATAATGATTTTTGAAACCTATTTTTAATTAGAGGCCATGCTGCATATGGAAGTGCGGTGAATCTGAAAAATAACAAAAAAGCTGTTGGAGGTGAATTTTTTTTATATACTATATAACATGTAGTATTACTGCGCGTACGTAAATTTTGTTCATACTTTTTGAATTTTTGAGTAACTATATCATAATTCTGTTTTACCCCTTAGCCACTTATTTCATGACGTATCACTCCATAATGAAAGAAAGCAAGGACTATATCACGGGATTGTTGGAAGCTAGGAAAGTAGCAGACAATATGACAACAATGTTAAAAATAAAAACGGGGGGAAATTCAACTAAAGTCTTCCCATACAGGTATAAAGAAGTATATCTTAAAATTAAGTAAAATCTATCATTCAGCATAATTTTCTTTAAATTATTACCGGTATTCTTTTTTAAGATTATTTTTCTTATATATTTTTTAGCGTATTCTACGTCTTTTACGAGCAATACTTGACCATTGTTGAGGATACAGTACAAAACTTATGTATATGTGTTGCCGCCATTTTTGTTGTGACCTTTATATTACTTGGATTTGACATCATTTCCGCTTTGATGGTGGTAATGACTATAGCTATGATAGTGATTGACATTTTAGGATTCATGTCCTTGTGGAACATCTCAATTAATGCCGTTTCATTGGTCAACCTTGTTATGGTAAGATTATTCTAAAATTATGGTCAGGATTTCAGTCCAGTTGTGGCATAATATCCAGATGTATAGATGCTATTAAATTAAATAAAATACTCTGCTACCTTTACATGAATAAAAACTTCATGAAAGAATATGTATCTTTATATTGTTCTAAACTATCGTTTACATGTGGGATTTTGATTTTGAAAGTTTTCTCACTGGATTTAAAAAACTTTATTTTAATTTCAGGCTGTAGGAATATCGGTTGAATTTTGTGCACACATTACAAGGGCGTTTGCCGTCAGCAACCATCGAGATAAAGTCGAAAGAGCAAAAGATGCAGTAGCTCACATGGGCAGTTCTGTAAGTTTGCTCTCATTCTTTTTCTTTCTTTTTTCTTTTTTTTTTTTTTTTTACTTTTTCTACATTTTTTTTAATCAACAAAAAATATTAATACTTTTCATGGGATATATTTTACTTGCTTATTTTGTAGGTGTTAAGCGGTATTACCCTGACAAAATTGGGTGGAATAATTGTTCTAGCCTTCGCAAAATCGCAGCTTTTCCAGGTGTTCTATTTCAGAATGTACTTAGCAATAGTTGTATATGGTGCAACTCACGGATTAATATTTTTACCTGTCTTGTTAAGCTACATTGGTATGTACATGTTATTTTATCTTTGGTGCATAAAAAATGAAAGATTAAGTTTAAAAATAGTGATATTTCTGTTTGGTTGGGTAAAGATTTTCTTAAATTTAAAGTTTCATTTAGCATAATTTTGCTTAAAGATAAAATTTGTATTGGTTATGTAAGATGCATGAATAAAAAATGTATTCAAATTAACTTTATATATATATATATATATATATATATATATATATATATATATATATATATATATATATATATATATATATATATATATATATATATATATATATATATATATATATTTTTCATATCCGTCTCTGATTCATGTAATAATTTACATAAATTTTTGTGTTTTAGGTCCTCCAGTGAACAAAGCCAAATTAAATAATAAAGAACCATTTGAAGAAAATTTACGTGCAAACGGACACACAAATCATGCTTATAATGATGACTTTATAAAGACGACAAGTTTAAAGATATTAGAAAATTCACATTTATGAACACGTATTATATTGTTATATCTTTAATTTATTTCAGTTTTTCATGTCGATTATGTTCATGTGAAGCGGAAAAGTCAAAAACTTTTATAGGAACAAAATATTGCGAACAACGAATTGATATTGACAGTTAGTCCTTGATGTTTTTGTAAATATGAACGAATGAAGGGAGTTTTCTTGTGGCTTAAAATGAATTCCACCTTAATTCTGATTGTTTAACTCGAAAATGGTGAATATCTGCCATCCATCGTATATACATATGTGTAAGTAGAATGTGTGCTCGTTCAAAATGTAATTGATATGTATTAGTTGAAAGGCTGCTTACATATATTAACTTAATACGGAAATCAGGTGCATAAGAAAGATTTTCAGAGTCGTGTCTGGAAGCATTCTTTTTTAAATGTCAATTGTGAAGAATCCAATCGTAATTGTATTGTAAATTCATTGGTTGATATAAAAAAGCAAGTATATTGAGTTGCTTTTGAATTGATATGAAGAGTTTACATTTGACGTTATTTCAATGATCTATGCATAATAGATGGTGCCTGTGGATGTTATAGATGAAAATTAAGTTTGTAAGTAATGTTTTGCTCTTGTGATATAAAAGTCTTAAGTTTTGCTTTGTCGGGTTTGTCAGTTTATTTATAGCACGAGAAGCTTGTGTGGATGAAGGCGTTTTATATAGTGTTACCTCATAACAAAATAATCAACATTCTGTATAAATAACTAGTTGTAAATATGGACTTTTGTTTTTGTTTGACTTTTTTTTTGTTTTGTTGCGATATCATTATACGTGTTTTTTAACGTCTGATATTTGAATGCTTGTGATGCAGACAACTGAGTTTTTCTTGTCTAAAGCTTGTGATGTTTTTTTTTTAATTTAAATATGTTTTTACATGATTCACTTCACAACAGATGCTATTAAATTGATGCTTTATTAAGCATTTAACGAGAATATTATTGTGTTTATTTTGTCTGTTTTAATCTTTAAATTACAGTTTTATAATTATTTACTTAAGTATCAAAATACATTACAAAACATTGATTTCCTACTAGATTACTCACTGACGGATACAACTTAGAATAATTTATTTTACCAGAATAAACCAAAGTGGGATAAATATCAAGAAGGCAATGCTTGCAAGTGAACACTCTACGCTAAAAAATTATACATTCTTTTCATTCCAAAATACAATCATCAAATATGAAATTTCAGAAAACAACACAGATGTCCTTTTTGACATATTTCATTTTTTCAAATATGCAATATGACTATTTAAGATTTTATTTGATAAAATGAAATATGTCAGAAAGGACACCAAGTTTAAAAGGGAAATTACAGGCTTCTAAACGAAGAAACTACATGTAATTTGCAATCTACAAAGAAGAAGGTACGGTTTGGGCTTTATTGTGCCCTAAAAATTTTAATGTTTTCAAAAAGTTATGATATTAGCTTATATATGAGTTGAGTATATGAATGTGATATATCATAAAAGAATATGGAATGAAGTAGGGCCATTCTGGAAATATGACATCATTAATTTGGTACATTTCTAAGCTCAAAATGACTTTTTTCAGATTTGTAGTGAAACCATACTTTGTTCTTAGGGAAAAACCCCAGTATTTCCTTAAATAAACACAATCAGTTCAGTTATAATTAATCATCTGCTCTTCCTATGATTAAAACTCGTCACAAGCGGATAGCATTGAGAACATAAGTCTGCTTTAGGACATATTGATATCCTTATATTTATTAAGGCGATATACTAGGCACTGGTAAACGAAAATACTGGTAGGAAAAAAAAAGTTTTGCATATAATAATACATTTTCAAAACACAAAAGGATGCATGTATTAATTTATAACATTACAAAAATTCCAAATTAAAGAGTATATTTTTCTGCAATATGTAAAATTGGAAGTTTAGTTAAAAACATAAAAGCATGATTATAAAAGCTTTCTAACATTCTTTTTCTTAATTTTTGAAATCGAATTGCGAATCCCAGGCCCGTAAGATGGATGTTTATTTTTGCCAATATGTACCATATAATAGAAAACCAATTTTCAGTTGTGTCCCCTCAAATATTAACGTTTTATTACCCCCATTTTACTTGCTTGTCAAAGAATTTCTGTCCCCCCCCCTTCCCCGATAATTGCTTCCTAAAAATTCACTCAGTTTCACATAATTATGCAATAAAAAAGTGAAGATAACAAACAGTGATCAATATAAAAAAAAAACTCTGTGAACAGGGCATAAAACAAGGACACCCGGAAATTCCAGAGGTGGGATCAGGTGCCTTCGAAGAGTAAGTGTCACCTGTCAACCGGTGAACCCGTCGTGAGCCCTATTTATTGATTGTAAGCCTGGACTTTAATCTATCAAGGAGAATGGTTGTATAAAGTGTTGAAAAGTCGTACGTTTTAATGCTATTGATTTTGTTAAAATTTTGTGATTTCAAATTTTCTAAAAGTTCCTTGGAGTTTTTAAGTATCCACGTCTGATTTACACCACTTCTCGGATATACTGTTGTACAGTACTTCTGAAGTTTCTACTTAACTGCTGTAAGTAGCTTAGTGAGGAGTAAAGAAAGAGGCTTGGTAGAATATTTACAGGAACCCGTATATGTATCTTTGTTTGTCAGAATTTTTATGGAGTTTAGGAATCCAGTATAGGTATGATAATTCAAATTTATTTTGATTGTTGGGAATATCAAAAATATTTAAAACAGACTTATGGTTTTGAAGAATTTCCTCCTTAGAAAGGGAGCTATGGGTATGAGTTGAATTACCACTTGCAGAATTAAACCCTAGTTCCTCTAAAATACAATTAAAATAATGAGCCTTACAATCAATGTTGTTATTTGCTTCGTCAGCAGGGACCAGTACATACTGATCGAGTAATCCATCTAATTCTTGTTTCAGTATCCTTTTCATATCAACTTCAGAGTACATGTTTTATTATCAACTTCAGAGAATCAGAGTGATTTTTAACAAAGTAATTTTGGTGACCAATCACAAGATATGAAAATTTCCGAGTTCCGTTGTTATTAAAGAAGCAGTTGTCTATGATATCAAAAAGCCTAGTTTTAAATTTCACGCAAGGAATGGCTGTATAAATTGTGGAAAAATTGTATGTTTTATTGTTATTGACTTTTAAAATTTTTGTGATTTTAAATTCCCTAAAATTTCTTTGTAGTTTTTGAGAATCCAGATCTGATTTACACCACTTAAGAACGTCTGAAGTTTCTCCTTTACGGCAGTTAATATTTTTGTGATGATTAAAGATGGAGACTTGGTAGAGCATTTACTGGACCCTACAATGTATCTTTGTTTGTAAGGAATTTTATGAAGCTTAGGAATCCAAAATCGGTAGGGTAGATCGAATTCACCTTAGTCGACTGGAATGTTAAAAGTATTATAAAGACTGAACTGTGATTTTGAAGAATTTTATCCTTAGAAATTGAACTGTGAGTATAAGATGGATTTCCAGATATATAATTTAAATCAAGTTCTTCCAAAATACTGTTATGATAATGGAACTTATAAACAAATATGATAACGCAAGTGTCACCAAAGTTAATATCAATTGTGATATTATAAAGTTATAAAATATAAAGTTAATATCAATTGTGATATTAACTGGAGCATAAAGAAAAGAATGAAGAACCAGTCTAGCTTTGTGCCAATACATTATACATCAAGGCATATTTATATATATATATATATATATATATATATATATATATATATATATATATATATATATATATATATATATATATATATATATATATTAATATGTTGTTGATCAACTAATAAGCCGTCATGTTTCTTTGTGATATCTCTGTAGTGTACCAACCTGAAATGAAAGGACATTCTTGCTTTCAGTGTGATGTGACATTTATATTTATTGCATTTAAACATAATTTCTAACACTATTTTATTGCAGTCTTAAAAGCACTTGTATTGCACTCAGAAAACAAACAAGCAAACCGGATACGAAACTTGGGTTAAATTTATATTCTTTTAACTTTTAAAAAACATCAGTTTAATTATTAACCCTTCTTCAGTCGAACAGCAATTTCAAGATATTTCAGAAACTTCTAATACATGTACCAGCTGTATATAACAAAAGCCAAAACCTTAAAAAATGATCATACGGTATAAAATCTGAGCATATGACTTCGTTCAAACTGTTTCCTTTTGTAAGAAGCTTGAAAGTGAGAACATGATATATAAGAGTGCGGACATTGATTTTGTTTTTATGAATATCACATCCCATTCCCAGTGTACCTGAATGTTATCTTCTTTGGAATGAACATATCATTAGGTTTCTCTATATTTTATTCTATCTTATGCCAGTGAAATATTTTATAAAATTGAGTTTTTTACTTGAAAGCTCTTGCTGAGAAAAACTTGTTCAGCGCTAAAATAAGTGAAGAATTCACCAGAGGTATGATCCGGCTACAAATGCAAAGTGACTGAGAAATGCTTATATGGGATGTTGAGCGGGGGAGGTCTAGAGTATGACCCAATTCCTGACACCTCTCAAGGAAGCGATTTCCAACGTCGTTACGGGAAATGGAGCGCGTATCATAATGTACCAACTGCCTGAAGACTCTTATTTTTTATTCTGAGCACTGCTTATGAAAAAAATTTCCAATAAGTGTTGGTAATTATAAATTTCAAAAATCTCAAGGTCGTAGAAACAATATATACATGAATTGCACTAAAACTGAGAAACATATATGGTGCTAGAAAATGGTCAAAACACATTGTGGTCAAGAAAGAAAATCCTGTTCGAGTTTTTATAAATGCAGTGATATCTACGAACTAAATATACACCTGTGTAGATCCTGAAAGCTTTTCATCATATTCACAAAATAAATTTCTTTTAAAATGCCCCTTGCCAAAACTTTACGTTTTGTTATCCAAATACAGCAAAAAATTGTTTTATTACCTCCCATTTTTGAAAGCTCCAGAGTGGTTTATTGCTTAAAATTATTCATATCTTAAACACTTATCTGTTTCAATAACGCATTTTCAAAGAGAACGTAATAAAACCAAAAACGGGTTTTGATGGAAAAATGTAGAGAAACCACCTTCGTTCTTTTGGCTTCCAAATAAAAGAGCCTCCCATGAATAAGAACCATCCGATTTGTAATTTTTTTTCACATGTGGAAAGGTGTTAAGATATCCGCCTGAAATCATGAATTACCTAACAAGTTGTGTTACACTTGGTGTTGTTTTCCTTTACTTACAGTTCCTTGGTAGGTATACCTCAGTTCTGGATTTCTGTACATAAGTTCGTAACGTAACTCTCTAAAGATTTTGTTTGATTTTTAGGAGTTTCTTCACAGACCTGTTCTGATTCTACAACAGCTGTTGGAAGATGCCAAACCAACTTCACGACCTCAGTAAGTACAGGCTCCTCCAAAGATAACGTATGCAGGTAAATGTGTTAGATGTTCATATGTATATCATAAAAAATTAACAGGAATCAAGTATCATAAAAAGATAAACAGGAATGTTTTCCATAATGTTTTCCATAAAAACTGTTGAGTTGATAAAAGCAAATATTTTAAAAGGTACATTGAAAACATATTTAATCTAAAATTTTCATATTAGAGTTTACATTGCAGTAGAATTAAAAACTACCGCATATTTCAGATGGTCTTATGTAGCATTTATTGGTAATATTTTATATATTTAATTCAAGTGCTTCAAAAATATTCCTGTCTTGTCTTGACCAAGTCATAAAAGACTGCAATTTGAGCGAGGGAAGCCAAATCATAGCAACCGCTAAACAAACTCTGGATCAGTATCCATGTGGAGGTTTGTAAAAGTTTTTTTTTTATAAACGTTTGGTTAAACCAACACATGCATATGAGGGTCAGAAAAAAATATTTGTAAAATAAAATGCCTCACTTATCAATGAAAAATCATCAAATAAATTACATCGATCAGTCATTTAATTAAGTTTTGGTTTCCGAAGAGTTTTTTCATGCAAATGTAGGTAACAAAAAGGGGGAATAAAATTGTACCATATCCAATATCAAAACTACTGCAAACGAAGAAAAAAAAAGAATCGACAAAAATAGTTTTTAAAAACACCTTTAAACTCTTTAATTAAAAAAATGCTAAAATTGTTAATATTTTTTTTGGTTTGCTTGTTTTGTTTTTGTTTTAAAAATTTCTTTTGTATTTTTCTTGATTCGATTTTAGAATTAAATAGTTTTTTAAATTAAAAAAAATACATAGAAAAACATAACAACAAACAAATATCCCAAAAATCTTTCAATCACATGTTTAACTTCAGGAGAACAATTTATAACAGTCAAATATTTTGATAAATTCACGAAAGCAGATTTAATTCCATCTTTCTACTGTACTGAATATCTAGCAACATTTTCATTTTGCAAAATCTCTAGCATTGTAGAGATAATTTGCCAAAGTTTTAGCATTTTAGGGATAATTTGCTATATTATCAGCTTTCTATATCCTCTCTCTCTCTCTCTTTTGAGCGTATTGTTATTATGAATGTATACCATGCATCATGATACTACATAAAATCATATATTTGCAGACAGTGGTACGGTAATCGGCAGTTTTCCACTACTGATATTTGGAATTATCATGTACATATTCCTACTGTACAGAATTTTGAATAAAATACCATCACCACTATCTAATATGCAAAAATGATATTTTAGCACGTGCATTAAATTAACCATTTGATATGTTGGTGAATAAATAGTAAAGCAACATATGCTAGAGAGAGTATTGGCATCAAATAACCATTTTTATGAGTTATCTTTTGAATATCAATTACCCTGTACACATGTACTGTGTTGATGAGTTCCAAATAATAGAGAACTTTACCGCAGGATTAAAGAAAGGATACATGTAAATACTTTATCTCAAATAAAATCTAAAAAGTGAAATCATCAGAACTAATTCGAATAAAACATGATTGTAATCATTTTGGTGCTGAACAGTATCTTGGTGTTAATGGAACGTCTGGCAAGAATTCAAGTCTTTAAAAACACGGAAAGTGAATGCTGAATGTATGATTTTAAAGTTTGATAGTAACAAAACATGATTGTTTTGTTGCAAATTGAGTTTTTTGTCAATGATGAAACAAAATTAACTCTTTTACGTGTTATGCCAACGAAAGTTATATTATTCCGTCTTGTTAGTCTGTTTTGCTCGTCTATACACAAACTAGAATATGTTTGTTCTGTTGTTGATTTATCCCTGCTACACTATGAGAAAGAGAATGAAAAGTCTTACTCACCAGGAAAAAAAACTTGTCGAACTTGTTCTGTTTCAATCATTATCAAAATTTATTGTCATTTTCTTAGCTTCTCGGGTACGACGATAAGTTGAAATGGATGCAATATGAATAAAATTGAAATTCTGATTTGAGTCAAACCATTGATTAATGACAAGAGTTGGGTCGCAATTTTAATTCTTTCCTATTTCAATAATAAAAAAAGGTTCATTATCCCTCTACTCATTTATATAAAAATTTTTCCTTTAGTTAATGCTTATGTTTATCCAAGAAAAATTTAATTTATTATTAAAATGCACACACTTACAACATACCTTGCGGGGCAAAATTTGACATAAATGGCCTATTAACTTGACAGTTTTATAAAGGAATAATAGTAATTAGTAATAGTAATAGTAAACATACAAACATACAAACAAACAAACAAACAACAAAACTTTATGATAAACATGATGACTTCAGTTTTTCTATCAGCAACTTCCCTTATTTATGTAGCAATAAAATATTATTATCACCCGCATGTGGAGTTTATGTTTCCCAGTTGATTCGATACGCAAGAGCATGGTCTACCTACGAACAATTTCTAAAACGAGGCAAGCTATTGTAAAATTTATGAAATAAAGAAATGAGATTGATTGATTGATTGTATGTTGTCTAACGTCCCTCTCGAGAATTTTTCACTCATATGGAGACGCCACCACTTGCCGGTGGAGAGCTGCAAATTTTGTCCTATACTCGGCACTTACGGCCATTGAGCAGTGAGGGATCATTTTCGTGCCAGCACCTACTGCCACACGGAACCTCGATTTATATATACGGTCTCATCGGAAGGACCGGTCTTCACGTCCCACAGTGGGATTCGAACCCGCGACGTAAGGATCAACTCCTTACATCGCGACTCTAGAGCAGACGCTCTAACCACTGCGCCACGCGGGCGACTAAAGAAATGAGAACTCTCATTTAAAATCAACATTAATCAAGTTCTATTGGTGACACAATGACTTTGTTAACAAATAACAATCTATAGTTAAGTCAAGTGCTGACTGACATTTTTCATACTTATTCTTTGGCCATTATTTACAAGCTGAATTGTCTACGGACTTTTCCGTTTTTCCCGATCATGACAAGGAGCATATAGCGGGTGTGACTGGTCGACAGGGAATCTTACTCCTCCATGACACCTGATCCTACCTCTGGTGTTTTTAGAGGTTCGTGTTTGCTCTGCTACCAATCTGTACTGTTTCAATAGTCTTTGGAGCTTGATTACTGTTCGTTATCCTTATATTTCACCTATTGTGTTTTCAGCACGCAATAAAATCGCAAAATAGATAGTCACAGTGGCTATAAGTTAAGGTCATACGCAAGGTTCATGTTGAAATACTTTACAATGTACTTTCCTACTGATAATTTTCCGAGATTATCTTAATTGAAAATCATAATACTATCAGATGTTCTTAAGCAAAAAAATCAGTATACATTACAAGGAGTTTTGAACAGATATCAAAATATGAAAATCCTCGTTTTTTAAAGAAAAATGAAAAAAAAAGTTTTAGCGGGTATATACAATGTATATATCCACAAAATTTTACTTAGAAGAGGTGTACAGTATTACAAGTCATCATTTCATCATTAAATCCTACAAGGTCTTATATTTATTAGAACTTTATACGGTGAATAAAAAAAAAAATTTCAAAACTACTTTTGCGAAATAGCGTACAGCGGACGGCGGACTTCATACCTTTGAGAGCGGACCTTTAAGAGGGGCGGTTAAAAAAGAAAGAAAAAAATCAAAGACAAATTTTATCTTCAAATACTAGTGCATAGGCTTTTATATATATCATGTTTATATTCAGATATACATGTACAGGTGCGATATGTATCTATAAATTTTAATTCCACTATATTGACAATTGTATTTAATTGGCACGAAAAGAAAGTACACTTTAAGTGTATGGAAAATAAATACACAGGTATATAAATAAATAATTAGAACACTTACATAAAGTTCAATACACATTAGTTAAGACCACAAGTTCTTTATTAAATACATGTATATAAAACATTTACAAAATATCTATGATATATATACATGGTTTTGTATGCATTAAAATCTCATAATCAACAACAACACTTGGCTTTTTTTTTTTTTAATAAATGTGTAATTTTCATTATGACCTACAAACAAGCCCTGCTACAATTTCAGCAATGACTGATAATTTTTGCCTGGGGTGACGCCAGACGCTACTTAATACTCTGTATGTTTTTAATTTACAAATCGAACGTTCAATTTCTGATCTATATGATGATAAAACCCTATTAAATTTTCTAAATTTTCTCTGTTCTCTTACTGTTTTGTTAATAATTTGATGATGGGGAAAAAGGTGTCAATATTGGGTGTCCATTTGGATAAATTTTGTCTCCTAAAATTACACAGTCATCAGGGAAAGGTTGATCTTGACCAATTTTTTGTGTCATCAAAGAATACTGTTGAGCATCATTCAAGTGGCCAGGAAAACCACATTCTATGTGACGGATTCTTCCTGAATTATCTACGATAATTTGTGCATGTATGGCATGATACTTTCGATGACCCGAATAAAAAAATCTTTGAGGTTCAGTTTGAGGAATATAAATTCTAACCGACGTTCCATCTATTGCGCCCACTGCGGAAGATAATTTTGGCCACACATGCAACATACTTCTCCATTCTTCCATGCTTGGCCATTTTATGTTAGATTTAAGAACTGCGTGAAAAACATTTGTTAAAGCCTTTATTTCCTCTTTTACGGTAGAAACACTAATATCAAAATATTGCGACAAAAAATAATACGAAGGATAATTTCGAAGCCAAATAAGAAACAAAAGGATCCTGTTTCTTGGAGATAAACTATGCCCTGTTATAGTTTTGCCCATTTTATTTGATACATTATGAAGAAGAATGTTGAAGGTCTCAAAATCTTCACCAGTTATTTCAAAAAATCCATATTGATGACCGGAAAACAAATGAAAGACGTCTCTACCCTGCCAGATATTCAACTCCTCTGTACAAAACGGCGCCTCACATCTATTAAAGGGTATGGTGGGGGTTTTAAAATCACAAACAAAATAGTCACTATATGTCTGAAAAAGCTGAGAAGATCAGGCGGATCTGAGAGTAATGCAGGAAGAGCTGCTTTTAAAACATCTCTGGAATCTGCATCCATATTTCCTGCAAAGTCAAATGTATATCTCGATTCATCATTCATTCTAAATTCTATATGCATTGTGTAGTTCAAGCTCGTCGCATGGTTTTTCAAAAAAAAAAAAAGGGGGGGGGTAATTGACACCCCCTCATCAAAAGGTAATAAAAATTTAAAAGTAAAATTAAAAAAATAAAATAAATAAGTAAAATGGAAACAGGTAGTTTCATAAACCTAAAATCATCTCATGTGTGCTTGTATGTATGTTTGTGTGCGTGTTTGTTGAGGGGAGGGGGGGGGAGCAGAATCCACGCTCAGATTTTGTACATTCTTTTTGGTAAAATCAAAGGGAAAAAAATCTAAGAAAAAACGATAGTCATCTTATTCTGCAGGCCTTTTGTTATATAAAATCTCTCTCTCTCTCTCCCTTCTCTATCTCTCTATCTCTCTCTCTCTCTCTCTCTCTCTCTGATATAATGAATAGTATTTTAAACAAGCTTTTGTATTATTGAACTGTCTCAAACCGGTTTCATCAACTTCACATATCACGAGTTATTTTCTGCTTCCAAATCGTGTGGAAAATTTTATCTGATATTATGAACATGGATGAAAATGAATTGCCTGATATTCAAGAAGGTATGTCTTAAGTACATTTAAATCATGACTTTGATTTTTTATTTTGTCAGTTCATAACGTTACAATGATTTTCAAAATTGCTTTTTTTTCCACCTTTCAACAAATAATTAAACTATAAGAGCTTAATATCTCAAAAGTGAATTAAATTAACTGTCTCTGCTAAATTTTCAGAACTCTCAAATAAATTTAACAAGAAATAGTTATACTTACAAGCCTGTTGGAGTGTGTTTGATTAAATGTACCTGTTTACAATTTTACAAAGAGAGATAACTCTCTTCATACAACTCAAAGTGATCGGTTTTTATTTACAGCATCTTTAATGAATGAAATTAGGTCAAAACTACCTTTTAAAGCAATTTAAAATAAAAGAAACATTACTCCTGTCTTATGCAGGACCCAAACCTTTCAGGATTATAAAATTCAAGGTAATAATTCTGACTAGTTTGTTCTGCGTTTGATAAGATATATATGTGGAATCATTAATTATATTGAAAACCTTTCACACTAGGCAAGTGTTCATTGTACATGTATTTGTATATTTTGCAAATCATTATCATCTCTGTAAGATTTGGAAAAAACCAAGTAGGATCCCAAGGAGATCACTCAGCTCTTTCAAGTTACAATAAGCAAGGATATTTTACCAGATTTTTGAAATTCTTGGGCAACATAGCTTTATCTATCAGTTAATATTGTTTTATACTTCTATGGATCCTTTACAGTGTTGTATTATACTCAGGTGACTGTTAAGGCTCTTGGGCCTCTTGTTTCGAATATCATCCGTCGTCAAGCAATGTAAATTGTTGTTTAGTTCTATCGCGTTAGAGAGTGTGGTTTCATCAATCAGAGGGTAACAGTCACTGTGTTTTTTTTAACAAATGTTTCTCGACGAATCAAATTCAAGTAATTTACATGAAAGTATAATATAGCAAAATGAATTTTTTGGACAATGGTAATATAATATTGTATAAAGGT